TCTAGCTCCAAACATTTAAAACATATGACCTAGGTTACAGATAGTTTAAGTTGTGGGTTAAACCTCAAGGTGAGGATCAAAAGGAAAAAAAATGGCATTTAAGGGTCATATAGATATGAAGAATAATAGCCCTAGCAAAGGAAAAAAATGGCATTTAAGGGTCATATAGATATGAAGAATAATAGCCCTAGCACCATCCGTTCAAAAGGTAAAGTGGGTCAAATTCCAAGATCAAGGTCAAGAGTTCAAATATGTTGGTATTATATTGATATTCAGGATTGAAGAAGACTTTCAAAACAAGAGGCCCATGGGCCACATCGCTCACCTGAGCACATTGGCTAGGAAAAAAAGAGAGCAAAAATCAGTTTAGTATTGAAAAGTTAACGGGGGGGGGGGGGAGGGTTGAATTTTAAACTACCTGATGATGCTTTCATATCAATATAACAAATGGCATTGCTGTTCTTGAGCAGAAGATGTTCTCCCATATATTCATTTGTAAAAATTTAATCCCCCATTGTGGCCCCACCCTACCCCCGGGGTCTCTCATTTGAACAAATTTCATTCTACACTACCAAAGGATGCCTCCATATCAGTTTTACTAATCATGGCTTTTCTGAAAAAGATTTTTTCCTGTATATTTCTATGTAAAACTTTGATCCCCCATCGTGGCCCCATCGTACCCCCGGGGATCATGATTTAAACAAACTTGAATCTGCACTACCTGAGGATGCTTCCATACATGGCTTTGCTGTTCTTAAAAAGAAGATTTTTTAAAAATATTTTCCTATATATTTCTATGTAAAAATTTGATCCCCCCCCCCGGGGGTCATGATTTAAACAAACTTTAATCTGCACTACCTGAGGATGCTTCAATATAAATATGACTAATTATGGCTTTGCTGTTCTTAAGAAGACGATTTTTAAAGATATTTCCCTATAAATTTCTATGTAAAATTTGATCCCCCATTAAGGCCCCACCCTACCCCGGGGGTCATGATTTGAACAAACCTGAACCTAAACTACCTAAGAATGCCTCCATATAAATATGACCAATCATGGCTTTGCTATTCTAAAGAAGATTTTTAAAGATATTTTCCTATATATTTCTATGTAAAACTTTGATCCCCCATTGTGACCCCACCCTACCCCCGGGGGTCATGATTTGAACAAATTTTAATCTGTACTACCTGAGGATGCTTCCATATAAATATGACCAATCATGGCTTTGCTGTTCTAAAGAAGAAGATTTTTAAAAATATTTTCCTATATATTTCTATGTAAAACTTTGATCCCCCATTGTGACTCCAACCTACCCCCGGGGGTCATGATTTGAACAAATTTGAATCTGCACTACCTGAGGATGCTTCCATATAAATATGACCAATCATGGCTTTGCTGTTCTAAAGAAGAAGATTTTTTAAAATATTTTCCTATATAATTCTATGTAAAAATTTGATCCCCCATTGTGACTCCAACCTACCCCCGGGGGTCATGATTTGAACAAATTTGAATCTGCACTACCTGAGGATGCTTCCATATAAATATGACCAATCACGGGTTTGCTGTTCTTAAGAAGAAGATTTTTTAAAAATATTTTCCTATATATTTCTATGTAAAACTTTGATCCCCCATTGTGGCCCCACCCTACGCCCGGGGGTCATGATTTGAACAAATTTTAATCTGTACTACCTGAAGATGCTTCCATATAAATATGACCAATCATGGCTTTGCTGTTCTAAAGAAGAAGATTTTTAAAGATATTTTCCTATATATTTCTATGTAAAACTTTGATCCCCCATTTTGGCCCCACCCTACTCCCGGGGGTCATGATTTGAACAAATTTGAATCTGTACTACCTGAAGATGCTTCCATATAATTATGACCAATCATGGCTTTGCTGTTCTAAAGAAGAAGATTTTTAAATATATTTTCCTATATATTTCTATGTAAAACTTTGATCCCCCATTTTGGCCCCACCCTACCCCCGGGGGTCATGATTTGAACAAACTTGAATCTACACTACCTGAGGATGTTTCCACATAAGTTTCATCTTTCCTGGCCCAGTGGTTCTTGAGAAGAAGATTTTTAAATGATACCGTTATTTTTTCACTAATTCCTAATTATCTCCCCTTGAAAGAGGGCATGGCCCTTCATTTGAACAAACTTGAATCCCCTTCACCCAAGGATACTTTGTGGCAAGTTTGGTTGAATTTGACCCAGTGGTTCTTGAGAAGAAGTCGAAAATGTGAAAAGTTTACAGACGGACACACTGACGGACGGACAGACGGACGACGGACAAAAAGTGATCAGAAAACCTCACTTGAGCCTTCGGCTCAGGTGAGCTAAAAAGGGTTCGTACCCAGTTGATTCCTCTCTAAAATGATTCGACGTTATAACTACTGGTCTGCAAATATATGCAAATAAGAGTCTTCCCTTACTTAGGGGAAAAATCAATGTTGATAGACCTTACTGATTTATGAGTTTACATATCTCTAGATATGAACATTCCTTATTCAGGCAGTAACATCTATCTTAGGGGCAAGCCTTACTCTAATTAAGTGGTCTAACTCCAGAAGCAGCAATTACTGTTTTAATGCCTTATTCAGGACGGACAGTAAACTGCTTATCTCTGAAGTCTTACACCTTCCCTTTTTGAGGAAGAGCGACAAAAAGATAGGCGAACCCCCAAGAGGTCAACCTTTAAAATGTTAGCATCGTAACTGTGGTAAGATTCCAAAGAATGGTCCTAACAATATTGTAGAGCTGTATTTATACCCTCTGTGGGTCACATGATTACCAACGGTTTCTCGATCACTTCCTATTTTACTGTGTATCAGCTCCATAGTTACATTTCTAAATCACCGTTGCTGTAGGGCTCTTGTATTATTAAAAAATCGTTTAATATGGAATCGTTACAATACCTCTGAATTTAATTGTTTTAGCACAAGACCTTAGGGGACAAGGATTATGAACTTCATAGTTCACTAATTGAGCTAAATTCCAAATTTTGACCAATTTTCAACCAAACTTGCCACAAAGTATCCTCGGATGAAGGGAATTCAGATTTGTTCAAATGAAGGACCACACTGTCAAGTTTTACACTGGAAGATATCTTAAAAAATCATCTTCAGATGACCAGCAAAGCCATGATTAGTAATATAAATACAGAAGCATCCTCATGTAATAAAGATTCAAGTTTCTTTTTAACACCTTTGTGTAGGGTACGGCCACAACATAGGAACAAAGATTTACAAAGGAATATATATGGGGGATCTTCTTCAAAACTAATCTTCTCATTAGCAAAGCCATGATTATTAACAATAATACAGAAACATTCTCATGTAATGTAGATTCAGATTTGTTCATATTAAGTGCCATGGGACTATGACTGGGCTACATAAGAGGACCAAATTTTTATCTTGGAATTAACAGTGTATAGGGAAAAATCTTCTTCTCAAGAAAAGCCATGATTACTCATACCAATATAGAAGCAAATTTGTTCATATCATTAGTTAGGATATTGGAGCAGCCACTTAGATATCTAAATTTTTAGTGCTTAAGTGATTATTGTTTATATCTAACCAAAGTGCTCAGGTGATGTGGCCCATGGGCCTCTTGTTCTAAATATGTGTTCAATTTTTATTTTTTTTTTCCTAGAATGTAACCGTAGTTTCTAAAAAAAAAATGCATTTCAATCAGTGTTTTATGAAAATACCGATAGTTTTTTTTTTTTTTTGTGTTTTTTCATCATTATTAATTTCATCTAAAATTCTTTACCTGATACAAAATAAAAATAAACTGTTCACAACATTAACACTTTGTGTTAATAAATTCCATAGAGTTTAAAAATTTACAAACACAGCAATTGCATATAATGATTAATACCAAAAATAAATTCACGTGATTATTAATGATTATTCAGAATTCAAAGAAGACATAAAAATTCTCAACCTAAGTTTCAGACACAGATCAGAGATCCTTAAACAAAACAAAAGGCATCAGATGCTGGCAAGATGGAATCATGATTTATCAGCCAGCCATTGACAGCAGACGTCCTCATTATGGCTTCCCTTCTGGAAGATCTCTGGGACCAATTAAAAGTTACAGAGGTTCGTGTTCTTTGGTCGATAAGGCTTCAAATTGTCACATTCTGTTTTGCATCAGATCAAATTGGAATAATCTGTCAAATGTACAATCTAATAAAGAAAACCTCGAATCGGAGGAATGAATAAACTCAGTATCAGTTATTCATTTGAATTAAATGATGTTTTGTACGTCTCTAGAGTAACAAAAGTGTCATGAAAAAACAGTTCCCTAAATTCCCTGATTTCTTAATTAATTTCACTTCATTTCAAAATGTTGTTAATGCCAAAATGCTCATCTGAATAAACTTGCCCCTGTTGTTCTTCATCAGAAGACTTTTTTCCACTCTGTTCCCTTGAAAATTTTGACAAATTGTTGTGGCCAATTCATATCCTAAAGGTTTCATGATTTAACTTAACGTGTATCCTCAAAAAACACGGGCATGCTTCAATATCAGTATCAAGTAACATGACTTATTATTCTGAAGAAGATTTTTTAAACAACTTTGTTCCTATATGTATGTATTATGTAAATTTATATCCCTGATTTTAGACGCATTCTGGCTCCGGGGATCGTAATTTGAAAGGAAAAAACTTGAATCCACACAACCTAGGAATTTTTCAAGGTAAAATTTTAATCCGATTATGTGGCTTCACTCTAATCCTGGAGACCATGATTTCAATAAATTCGAATATTTTGATTGAGTGTATGGTTCTGTTTATTTTATCAATAATTCATTACAAATATCAACAACAACAAAAAATGACATAAGACAACAGCAGGCTGAATCTTTTTATTTATTTATTGTTACACATGATAAATGCAACTAAATATATTCAAATATAATGCTAATCAGAATTTTCAGAAAATTTGCATTTGAAAGGAGAAATACATGTATATAAGAACTACATTATCATTAAAATTGACACTTGATTTATTATTTTGTCAGTTTCTGAAATAAGTTTAGGGTAAATAATTCCCCGTTACAATTTCTGTTCGTCTAATAGTTTGTTGAAGTGACAGTATTCATCTGGTTTAACAGGTATTAAGATGGAGTAAACATGGTATAGTTCCTGTTTTATTACATACCTGTATGTGGTAGAATTTAGAATTTGTTCAGCTGATAAATTTGGAATATTCATAGCAACACGTTCAGAAAACAAAAGAGTAAAGGGATCCAAGATAGAATAATCACTGCGGCTGTACCAGTCTCTGGTTCAGGACTCAGAAAATTAACTCCTCTTTGGTACTCGAAAGTAGAATAAAGGCAGGAGATAGTGACCTTCTGATATTTTCCCTCTGATTTAGTAAAAAACTGCAGACTACACGTGCTCTCTGCAACGTCACTCAGGAGTTCGTTGAACGTCATCCGGAATTTTCCCACGCCATCAGACACAAGGGTGAGGTTACCTATTCCTGCAGAGTTCATTTGAAAGGAAAGTTTTTGCGACTCTATTTCCCTGATTTTCAAAGTCCCAAAGATTCGATGGCCGTAATCCCCAGTAAACTGGTTCATATCCATTTGGTTTGACTGGGTGGACATTGTGTGGTTGTTTGTTGTGGAAGTTCCTGTGCTTTTCCAGGGGAAAGGAAAACTACAGATAGTATTGTTGTCTATCCATTGTTTTTCACCTAAAAGAATGTCTGAGAGAACATAAGTCAATGGCGCAAGAGTAACTTTGTAATTATTGTACCAGGGACCATTGATGGATATCACAAATCCAGCCTTCTGATCAGGAAAGAATCCAGCTACAGCAGAATATCCGTACCAGTTTCCCGGGTGAAGCAGCTTTTTATAACCTTAAATAATATAGATATAGAATTATCAATTTAAGCAACCAAAAAAGCGAAAATCTTGTACTGGAAATTGATAGCAACATATCCATACAATAGAAATGAATATGCTGAACTAATTATAATACTAGTAATATCATCTTGCAAAAAAACATTGTATTTCCTGATGTATTAGATATGAATGGTTTTAGGGGACCTAATGCTTAACTGAATAGAATGAAATGTTACGATAACGAAAAGAAATCATGCTCAAAAGTCCAATTAAACAATACAAATTGAGAGTAGAGCACACTCGAACCCCTGAAATCATCAGCAGTGGAATCATGTGTCATGATGGAGTAAGTAATCCCTATTGAGAGTTCAAGCTGTGCTTCTAATTATGACTGAATAAACAGAGAAATCCATGGACAATTAAGTGTGTAAATTATAATATATCAATTTGTGCAAAAATAAAGAGATTGTAAATGTACTTGCAAACAACGACATTCTACCTGTATGTATCCACCATAGAATTTACGAAATGTTAATTTAAATGAGAAAGATTAAGCTCTTGCATTTCGAATCATATTGAGATATAAACACAATAAGCGGGTGATAATGGTATTTTGGTACATAAATAAGGAAAGTTGTCATGTTTGTAATAAAGTTTAGTTGTTAGTTTGATATTTATGACTTTCGCTAGTAAAACATCCTAATATGAAATAGATGTTCCAGCCTTTGTGCTGTATTCTATTTCGAAATCAATGTATAAATGAAGAATAATTTTGTTGATTAATAAAACATCGTCAATATATAAAATTGTTTAATTGAAGACCACGGCAAGAGACTTCTTTCCATGCAGAAGTTTTTGAATAAGCTTGATAAGGATATAAAACAGGTCTGCTAGGAAGGGGGTGCAATTAATTCATTGTTGGGAATGGCTCTATAAAATGTTGAAAAGTCTAATTTTAAAGCTACTGATTTATATAAAAGTTGGTGATCTAAAATTTTCTAAAAGCTTCTCAAATATGTTGTTGCAATCACTTAAACTATTCATTTTTACAGTCTTCGCCATTGGAAGAGTATCATCTTTCTCCAGGATATGATGTTTAGAACGTTTGTCTTTATGGTGTGTTGTGAGAAGTTATACCGGTAACCATTAAATGAACTACAATTTTTTTCTTTGAACTAATCACAGATAACTACAGTATTTGATTTTTAAAAACAATCATGTTTCACCTCTGTAGGACCCGTATACTATCCACATCCATAACAGGTCCTCGAGAACTTACCCCTGTAGAAACCGGCATACCATTCATATCAATATCAGTTCCCCGAGAACTTACCTCTGTAGGTCCCGTCATACCATCTGTATCCATACCAGTTCTTCGAAAACATACCTCTGTAGGACCCGCCATATCATTCATATCAATAACAGGTCCCCAAGAACATAAAACTGAAGGACACATCATACCATCTGTATCCATACCAGTCCCCTGAGAACTTACCTCTGTAGGACCCGCCATACCATCCAAATCCATACCAGGTCCCGGAAGCCTGAACAGGATAATCGTTGTCAAGAAGGAATCTATTTATAGACCAATCATCTAAGATCATTTGAGGTTTAATGATTTCTTTGAAAACATCTGGATGAATTAATTGATATCCATCCACTGTCTTTCCCCCTGAGGACATAAATCGGATCCATTTCGCCAAATCCTGAGGCGAAGCTGAAATACATCCGGCTGGACCCACATCGCCAATTCTGTCACAGTATTCAAATTAAAACACGTCAATGATGGTAAACAGGAATTTATTACATTTTCAACAGTGAAATACTATGATTTATTTATTGAATAAAAGTGATATTCTCTCATAGTGTGAAAGGATACCAAAGTAATATTCTGTCACGGTGTGAAGGGATATCAAAGTAAGTAATAAAAAATTCTGGTCTGTAATAAGATAGAGACAGTAACTGAACCATCTAGATAGAGACTAGAACTGTCAATTTCTTCCCAAAAAACGTTGCTAAAATCCATGTTACAATGCTTCCAATCTATCAAATATGACGTCACAGCCTATGACACTGAGTTGAGAAAAGACAGAGGCAAAGGGAAAATCAAAGAAAATGAAATAAACATAAAATTCAATTTTTTATAGTTGGATATGGAATTTATTTCACTCGTGAGACGGGATTTTTTTCATATTTTCACGGATGCGAAGCACGAGTAAAAAAAATCCAGCCTCACTCATGAAATAAATTCCATATCCAACTACAAAATGTTGAATCTCCTCTATATATTTTTCTTTAAGTTTTATTTATTTTGAAAATTTCACTAATGTGAACAATAAATACTTTTAAAATGTGAACAATAAATACTTTTAAAATGTGAACAATAAATACTTTTAAAAATTAGAGGGACTGAGAACTGTGTTTTAGAGATGGATTTGAAATGTTATTTTACGAAGGAATTTGGATTCTTCTTCTTCTTTTTTTTTTATCAAACATTATTTGAAAATAATTTTCAATTATTTTGAAATGTTCAGAGTCTTAAGAATTGAAGATATGATAAGTAAAAAAACCCCAGAATAGTACAAAAAAACTAAATGAAAATTATTTTTAATGGTACTCTGAAATTTATCGTGATATTTAGAGATGACGAATACTTGCTGGTAAATAAGTTTATTTCCTACTCGCAGTCCTTCTCCTGCGTAATGATATGGAAGTGCGTATTCAGTTTTTGAGCTGTTGGGATATATATCGGTCCCACAGACAGCCTGAAACATTCCGATTGGCCTCAAAAGTTTACTTTCTATCAAGCTTTCATATTCTGTGTCCATCCATTCTTCCGCCACGTGACCAGCTATTGAGTAAAGTAGATCGTTGTAGATCCACTGATCCCGAAAAGCGGCGCTTTTTGGTAAATACTTTAATCTCCTAAAATCATTTACATATTATCATAATTAGATTTTTTTGTTTTGTTTTCAAAACGTTTTTGATACATACATGTACAATATAGACCTATAATTAAATATAAAAGTATGTAATTTAACCTACTTAACAAATTCTTTCCGGCCTATTTTCGGCAACCCAGTGTAAACATCCGCAGGACTGAATCCAGTGCGTTGACTCAAGAGATCCTTGATTGTCAACTCGGACTCAAGAAATTTATCCGGCAGCTTGAAATTCTCTTTGAATACAGAAGACAGTTTTGTATCCCAATCTCGACTGAAATTAAAATATCAAAATGGGAGTGTCCCTTAATTACCAAGAAATCAGAATAATGTATCGGTGAAGTTTTATACAACTAGAAAAACAATATTTATGGACATTTTATGGACACTTCATACTTTTTGGAATGTTTAACTTACATTGAATTCTTCTGAATTTTCTATCAAAATAAAAGCAATATATAATTTAAAAAAAAAACAAAAAACAAACAAACAAACAAACAAAAACTAAAAACCTAATAAGTGCCTCTGTCAATGTTATTTTGTTTTAAATACGCAGATCTGGTTTTTTAAAAAAGGCGTACAATAGGCCTTTGTAAGAACGACAACTGCTTTTACGAAGGAAATACAATCCAAAAAGCCATGTCAAAATACATGGGGACAAGGACTTTTTCGTGTCTTCAAGTAATGGAGCTGTGACTTTTTTCAGTTAACGAGCATGGAACATCAACCTTTTTTCAAAGATGGATCACGGAAAAAAAGTTATTCAAAACTTGGAAAAATCTAACATACAAAAAATTATCTATTTAAACTAATCAGAATATAAAACTATTCTTGATAGCTTCTCAATTCTGTTAAAGATTACTGTATACGTACTCACTTAATGATTTAAACAAAAATGAAAAATCCTTGTTTCATAATTTTTAATAAAGGTACCTAGTCATAATTAGACAATTTTTTCTTGTTTATATGCTAGCAGATTGACCCCCTGTCTATGCAATGAACTACTTAAAGAACATAATAACTTTCAAGATACACTTAAGATACATAGGACCAACTATGTGGTAGATAATACACTCTTGCATACAATATATTGTATTTCCATGAATCCGTATATCATACATATATCTACATGTATTAGACTAATGCTCTTTGAGGCTTAATAAAGTTTGACAATTGTAAATGGTCAATATGAATGGATTGCATAAACTATGTTGGCTTAAGGAAATAAAGAAATTGAAACTTGTTGAAAATTGTAATAAGAAGTTAAGGTTTAAAGCATATGTTTCGCATGTAACTAGCATGGGACGCCAACTTTTTTTGCAAGATAGAGCATGGGACCAATGAATTTTACCAAACCTGTTACCATGGGGTTTTAAGATTTTTAAGAATGAATTTTCCAGATTGCACATGCTTCGATAAATTTTGACTGGTCCCTTACACAATTGTTTTTTTTAAACAAATACAGTATGGTTATCTGACTCTTATTTGTGCATAAAAACAAATACTGGGTAGGTTTACCAACGTTCCCTATAAAAAAATCGCTAATGTATCGGATGTAATTCTAACACGATGTATGTTGAAACTTATTTTTGGATAACATATGAAAAATGTGATCACAAAAGAAAAGAAATATTTCAATTAATCAAAAGCACATTTCCAAATTTTTCAGCTTACGATAATAAACACGTTTTTGGGATATTTGATATTGAAGACAATATTTTTTTTTTTAAATTATGGTCATACATATATATATATATATATATATATATATATATATATATATATATATATATATATATATATATATATATATATATATATATATATTAAAGATAACCTGTTATAGTAGTCATATAAATTTATATCCAGTAATTTTTTTTAACCTGAAATAGATTGTCATAAGATTATTGTTAAAATAAGCAATGTCATGTACTAATTGTTATACTATCCACTGGTATGTATCTTCCTTATTATTGTAATCGTTCATATATGTCTATTTTTGGCCCTAAATTAGAAATAGAACAGTTTTACAAATTTTAACCAGATCTTGTGAAAAGAGTACTTAGTCTAGTATTCATGTGTTTTCATTACAATCTCTTAAGTCAGACACCTAATAAATGAAGGCATAAAAATAATCTGTTGGTTTCCCAACCTTATGAGTGCCAAGAAAATGCACAGATTTCAACTGAAAAGATACTCTACAGTGATGCACTAACCTAACGGATTGACTCCGTGCCTCGGTCATCATTACTCCTAATAAAGCAGCAGTGAATGCTTTTCCAAGAGAAGCGACGTATATTGGTGTTGTTTCCGTAAAATTGACAGGCTGATCAAGTCGAGCGAGTCCATATCCCTTGGCAAAAAATTTTCTATCCCGTATCAACGATATTCCCAAACCTGTGAAAAACAAAATGTTCACTGATTGCATGTAATTGGTTTAGTAGCAAACATAACTTCTGCATGTGATGTACTGTTTTAACTGATTTACATGCAGGTTTATTCTTATTTCAAAAGAAAATTTTCAATTTACTTTCTTCAGAAGATTATAAAAAATGTTTTCTTTTTTATTCCCATGAAAAATGTTGTCCCACTTATTGTGACCCAGGCCCGTAGGAAGCAATTTCAGTTGGGGGGGGGGCACAGCCATATATTTTTAGTTGAAGGGGCACTATCAACAAAAAATTCCTTGACAAGCAAAAAAAAAAAAAAAAAAAGGTCATCAGACGTTTTTATTGAGGGGGCACAAGCATAAAGTAGCCATGTTTTCTATAGTAATCTATATATCGGCAAAATTATTGGGGGGGGGGGGGACGGCTCCCCGTGCCCCCCCCCCCCGGTTCCTACGGCCATGTGACCCACCTTTGCCTAATATAAAGTGGTAATTTAGCTGAACTTGAATCCACACAACACAGGGATGCTTCAATATCAATGTGACTAACATGGTTTTACTGTTCTGGAGAAGATATATTGAAACATAGATGTAAAACTTTGATCCCCCATTGTGGCCCCACCCTACACCCAAGGGGTATGGTTTGAACGAACTTAAATCTTCATTATATAGATGCATTTGAGCTTACATATCCATATAACTGACCAGAGCACAGTTGTTCTTAAGGAGAAAGAATTTTAAAAGATTTTTCCTATTATATTACAATTTGATCAATTCAATTAGTTTACCAATTAAGGGTCCTCAAGGGCAGGAAAATACATTGTTAATACTCGTATAAGGTCATATACATGCATTACAATATACATACACACAAGAGAGAAAGAGTTGCATGATTGAAAGGAAAACTTACATAAAAGGAGGGACTAAACCAGATATATATATATATATATATATATATATATATATATATATATATATATATATATATATATATATATATATATATATATATATATATATATACGAGGGACGTTCAATAAGTTATGCAACATACAGTTTATCATAATACGTGTAGAAGCAGTTAATTTTATTTTTTCACAGAGGAAAAGTTCTATTTAAGATTTCCTGGTCACCGAAAACCGCATGTATTTCTATTTTCTTCACAAAGAAATCCACTTTTTAAATAAGCATGGTCACTTCACTGAGTTTGATATTGTTTAAAAAAGGTCTCTACCAAGTGCCAATGAAATATGAATGGTGACCTTTTTGCACTTAAAAGTAAGAAAATTTGACATGTTCAAAGTATGTTCCTAAAATTCAGTGCTAGTGAAGAAATAATGTCATTTTAAAATTTTCGCATGAATTTCATTGCTATTTCTTCTAGAACAAAAACTTGGGGTCTTATTGATTTATTTTTCAAGAGTTTTATATATGTATATATATATATAAATGTAAGCCTTGTTTATATTATAATAAAACATCGAATGGTTAATTTTTAAATTCGATAAATTAGGTTTAAATCTGTACTGTTTTACTGATGTCTGAAATAAATATTTGTGCATAACTATTACTTCATATTAGGGCCGCTAGAAGTTGAAGAGAAGCAACTTTTCATGTTTATTTGTTTGATATCCTCAAGCAAACTATCCATAAACAAAACAATAGAAGAAACACTGCTTTTGGAAGCGGAAACATAAGTATATCCCTCGACCCTAGTGATGTAATATTGAATTTGAAAAGCAAAACGTTTTGAGAGCAAAACTGGTCGCTATTTCGAAGGACACTTGTAACGATATGTAGCCCTCTTCACCCCGCCCTCTTCATACATAAGTACGGTCATGATATTTTATGGAGAAAAATTGGCTCTGGGGGAAATCACACTCTATAACTATTACACTGAGTAGGATTTCCTCCCGGAAAATTGAATCTAGCTGGTGTGGGATGTGGGATTGGTTAAAGGTCTTGTAGTGTAGGCTTTCCCCTCTAACCCCCCCCCCCCCCCCGGAGAACTGGCTCTAGAGTAGGATTTCTCCCGGAAAATAGTCTCTAGAGTATGATTTACCCCAAGGAAAAATTACTCTAGGGTAGGATTTCCCGTACGGAAATCCCACTCCAGATTCAATTTTCCGGGGGGAAATCTTACTCTGTTTAATAGTTATAGAGTGCGATTTCCCCCAGAGCCAATCACCCTCCCCCATCAAATACCATGGCCGTACTTGTGTATGAGGGAGAAGGGGCAACATATTACAAGCGTACCTTCTTCAAAATGGCGACAAGTTCCATTGAAGCATGAAAAATGAAAATTTTAAATCGTCCATCCAATTCTTTTTCTTTTTCTTTTTTTTTTTTTTTTTTTTTTTTTTTTTTTTTGTTTTTTGTTTTTTTTTTTTTTTAGCATTAAACTCTTATTCTTTTCATCTGGTCAAACGTCATTTTAAAAAAAGTATAGTGAATCATGTCTAATCCGGATGTTGTGTAATCCAAAATCTTGTTTAATACAATGTAAACTTAAAGTCCTTTTCAGTAAATTCATTTGTTTAATATGATGTCTAATTCGGAATGTTGCCAGTTTCTTTGGAACCATTGGTTTCCGGACTAGACAAGATTTACTTTACCATGTAATCGATCGAACAAATTTTAACTGTAGAATATATGCCCTGTTCACACGGAGAGTTTAATTCGCAGTAAATTAATGCGAAGTAAAATGATGCGAATTAAAATAATGCGAATTAAATTGCGTTCACACGACAGCTAATGCGAAGTAAACTAATGCGAATTATAATTTTATTTCTACAACAAGACTATTCAGTGAGGCTATTATGACGTCATTTACAAATCACGTCATATTGTGCAGAGCAGATATACATTTGACATAATGTCATAGTGTCTGTACACATTTTAGTGATTTACATAATTTTCCTTTGTTTTCCACTCAAAAATAGCACAAGTACCTATATTTGACCATCGACATGTGGCCTGTGACTTAATTCTGCCCTTACGCATGCGTCAAAATTTAATTCGAATTAGCTTCGCTTAGCGTTCACACGGAGCTAATGCGAAGTAATTTAATGCGCAGTAAACTAATTCGAATTAAACTAATTCGCATTAAATTCTCCGTGTGAACGCGGATCAAATTTAATTCGCAGTAACTTACGTTTAATTCGAATTAAACTCTCCGTGTGAACAGGGCAATAGAAACATAGAAACAAAGAGGAATTTCATATTAAATGATATTTTTCTGCAATTGTATTTCAGACTATATATGTGCATTATATCGATGTGTCTCCTCAAAATTTTGGTGTTTAATTATTGTCATGGATCTGAAAAATGGGTCAATCATTTCTAAAAATTTGAAATTTTGCAAAACTTTTAGAAAGTACATGTATTTGCTCTCTGCTTTCAAATCCAGTATTACATCGCTGGGATCTAGGGGACATACTTAAGCTTCGGCTTGCAAAAGCAGTGTTTCTCATATTGTTTTTGTTTAGGGTTTTGGCTTTTTTCACCTTTGAAAAATTACTCGATTTAAATATTCTCAAAATGACATATGGAATCCATCAGTAACATAAATTGTAGAATTTTCTCACGCACTCTTTGTCAAAAGGATAGATCCATAGGTGAAATACTGGCCCGGGTCTTTAGAGGGCAAACAAATTATCAAATAAGTAAATGTGACCTGATATAATTTAAAATTCGTAAACAAACACGTACCGTGAGAGGATGTTGAGACCTCGAGTCTTACGATACTTTTTTTTAAACAATTTTCCAAGAGTTAAAATTTTGGGTTGAGACTCAATGATTTGAACTATCTATTTTAAGATTTCACACTAAATTCGACAATTCCTGAGACGAAACAATCTTATTTCCATAAAAGAATCAGTTGACTTTCATATAAACTTTTCGCCAAATATTGTCGATATGATTTAAGCATTGATAAAAGAGGGGAAATCCTACTCTGAGAGAGAAAGGGGGGGGGGGGATTTGGCTCTAGGGTGAAATTTCCCTTTAGAGGGAAATCCTAGAATACAGATTCCGGTGGAAAAGCTGGCTTTGAGGGAAATCCTACTTTACAACACCGGTAGTCAATGTTGTGTCAAAGCAGGTTAGTAATTATGAACAATTTCGTGAATAAAATACTTTGGGTAGAGCTGAATCAAACTTCACTGCTTCAGCGGTAATCTCACAAGTTCCAAGTATTTAGTCAGATTCTTAATTCTGTTTTTGATAGATAATCAAAGATAAAAATGATTCGATAAAAATTTCTTTTTTAAAAGATCTTGCGAAGGTAATGTATAATTAGTATCTGCTTTTTAAATTTATCTATGCATTGTAAATTTTCATTCGTTTAATGCACTTGATTTAGGTACATTAAATTGTTTCTTTTTTCTTTGTGTATGCTTTAAAGAATTAAAGTTGATGATCACCTAAAAAGTTCATTCGCTCGAACCTTTAGCCATCCTTGAACCCCAACACCTCTCCCCGAATTAAAATTAGCATATTCATTTGTATTTTTTATTATTAAATAATCTTATTTGGCAAAAATTTCAATACAGTTGATTATACTTAATTAAGTTTGAATACTTTGACTACAGTGGAATATTGTCTTTTTCCCCCAAACTCCTCCAATGCACCTTATCACACCCCTTGAATATCCAGTGTTCCGTGTTTTATGCCCTGTTCACAGGTTTGTATTGGTTTTAAAAATATCCATCTCCACAGAAACAAATGTTGATTGCTTGTTTATCTACTTCTTGGACAGTTTTTACTTTTTTAAACTTGTAACTGATATCTTTTTCGTGTTCCTTTTATTTCAATGTTTGTTTGTTTGTTTGTTTGTTTGTTTTTTGAATGAACATCGCCATGATACATGTAGTTGCTATGTTAATGACAAATAAATTTTCATACAAAGGCTTTAGAACAACTTTCCATACAGAAAATTATCATTTTTAAGTATGTGATACGTCTTACCTGGAATATTTCTACATTTCATCCAGTCTTTCACTATGGAGTCAATCAATTCGGTTTCATTTTGCATAAACGCTTCCTGGCAAAATCCTATATGCCAAAGAGGAACAAAGCTCAGAACTAGGAGCCGCCAACGAACCATCATAGTTCACTGAAAAAAAATACAGTTGAACTTCAGTATCTCGAACACCGATATTTCGAATACCGTGTATTTGTCGAAGTGAACTGGATGTCCCAACCACTTATTCTTTAAGTATTTTACCCACAATATTTTGAAATCCTCGGTCCAATCGAGTTTGAGATAACGAGGTTTGACTGTAGTTAACAGTAATGGGTTGGTCTTCACTGCTTAAAAAATGTTAATGGCAATTTTCAAAAACTGTTTAATTGTTCTGTCAATTTCAGTACTTAAGAAGAAATTTTAGAAAACTTTTGAAAGAAGAGTATAATATTGAATGAATATATTAATGGAATTTTCTCAAAATAACATTAGTATGAAATGCAAGGCGTTCAAAATATATGTATATATTATGAACATAATTACAATTCATAAAAATGGCTTATTGGGAGATACATACATGTATTTCAGAGAAGGAAAAGTTGCACATCTCACTTAACGTGTTAGGATAATATTTAAAATTAAGAGTTACCTGTTCGTTCAAAAGTATGAAGAATTAGGTGCTCTTTGTTTGACGTTGAAAAATTGTGTTGCAATTCGGTCTGTAGTCTTAATGACAAGTCTATCTAGGGTTACATCCGTTAATATTGTATACTTGAAAATAAATTACCGATAAACGGATCTTCTGGTTATTAATTACAGGATTTAGTTATTATATATATATAGTGTATACTAAGGTCAGACGACACGTTCCTCACTAATATATAACTTTTTTCAAGAATTCAAGTTGCCATTGAAGTATTGCTACTTTTACAAGTTTCCTCACAAAAAATTAAGGTACCTTACCAGGCATTTGTGCAAGATACCAAAGGATGATATTTACTATACATGTATAACCCTATTGGAAATCACTAGCATTGCAAATATCAAACGTTTTGGTGCCTTTATCTTCATTTTGAAAACAGTTTAAAAATCGGAAGACAATGATAATTGTGATTAATTTGTTGTATATTACGAAGATATACAAAACTGATATTCGAGCAACGTGTCGTCAGAAGTAGGATCTCCAATGGTTTATGGTTAGATATGATTTTTTATCCAACTCGATGTTCGTTTTTATCAACGAGCCTTGTCTAGGGATAAAAACAAAGGCTCGGTGATTTAAAAAAAAAAACGAGTTGGATAAAAAATCATATCTAACTAATAGATACAACTAAGAGATTCGTTTTACATAGAGCTATTTCATGTTTTACACTGTTTTATCATGATTACTCCTTTATCTCATGGATATATTCATTGAATATTTTTTTCACATACCACTGTCGTGACGTTACGATTGTTTTTGTGTGAAAATGTTGAAGTAAAATAATGTGGATTTGCATACAAAAACAGTGTAAACATGTGATAAAAAGAATCTCCCGTGTTTTGTGGTTGGATATGATCGCCAAGGCTCGGGGATTAAAAAAAACCCTAAAAAAACCCACACAACTCGTTGGATAAAAAATCACATCCAGCCACAAATCAAGGAAGATCCTATATTTATATATATATATACCGGTAAATCTACAATATTTGACGATCAAATTCACGCAAAAACCATTGTGATGCCACAAAACGATACCCTATGAGTTATATCCACTGTATAAAGAAGTAAAGGTGTGATAAATAATAACAATTAGTGAAAAAAGTATTATAAATGTAAAAGTATAATACAATGTATTAAATGTTGTAAAAGTGTCCAAAAACTGTTAAAATACGTGTACTCTTCTCTCAAAAAATAAAAGTATAAAGTACAGTACAAGTAAAATTATTAGTTAATGTCTCCTCCCTCACTTTTTTGCAGTTTACATGGTTATGATTATTTATGTGTACAGTTTAAGCTGCATGAATCATGTCATACTTTGCCAAAATTCTTTAATTTCAGCTATATTTCTTTCTTTTTATACCCCTGCAACTGAAGATTCGGGGCGTATAGTTTTTGGTCTGTCCGTCTGTATGTCTGTTTGTCCGCAAAAAGCTTTTAACTTTGCGCGTAACTTTTGATTGATTGCTAGAGCTTTCATTTTTCACATGTATTCCTTGTGAAAAGACCTTTCTTTCGGTATCAATATAACTGACCTCTCTTGATGATGGAGTTTGAACCACTTTTACAAAATTTTACCAATTTTGAACAGTTAGCGCTAGGGCTTTCATATTTCTCATGTGTATTTCTAATGACAATACCATTCCCCTATAGTATCAACATTTTTACCTTGACCTTGGAATTTTACCTACTTTAAAAAAAAAAAAAAAAAAAAAAAAAAAAAAAAACTAATCTTGGTAATAATTTTTGAATGTTGGCACTAGGGCTGTCATATTTCATATGTTTATTATTTGTGACACGTTCTTTACTTTGATTCAGTTTATTGTTTTTCTGCAGGTTCAAGTGATAATTATATATTTTGAAAAATAATACCTATTTATCACAGGCACTTGTTTCGGTAATAAATTTTTAACTCATAGTATAATAATGTTATTATTATACTATGGGTTAAAAATTTATTACCGAAACAAGTGCCTGTGCTATTTATATATCATCCCCAACTTTGAGAGTGTATACTTATTTTAAGTATTGGATTACCGCCCTTACTTAAAATCATCTACTTTCCAAGTTTCTTTATTTCCTTATAAGCCAACTGACTCATCAAAGTAAAATAAGTATAATGGTATGTTATTAAGAAAAAAAATCACACAGAGAGAATGAACGTAAAAATACATGCATGAAAATAGTGTTATACATCAATATTTTTTTCTTAACAAGAGGCAAATTATAAATTTTGAAGATCTTAAACATTATTAGCACTTAGCAGTTGAATCAATTTAAAGACACTGGCTTAGTATAATGATACTTTTTAAAAAAAAAAAAAAAAAAAAATCTCTTTTAGGTCGATATACAAACGGCATTTCAAAACAAAATGAAATTCGTCTTCTATACCATGGAGATTACAACGTATACATAATCTATTAATCTTAGTTATGTTACTGTTGGTCTGTTTCAATATTCAAGGTATGATTTGATAACCTAAATTTTGTTAATAACTGTCTAAATATTTTGTCAATAGGTTTTGTTAAATATATGACTGCAAGCAGAAATTATCAATTGAATGTTGATATGCATAACCCTGTGGAGAATTTGATATACTCTGTTATTTTTGCTTAGAAACATCTAAAAGTCGTTGTTTTATAGTGCTATATGCTCTAGTATTTAAATAGGTTTCTGGCCGTATCCGTCCCTTTTTGGCTCCTCCATTGTGTTTTTGTCTCAGTCTGACCCCTCTTCTAGGTGACCTTTCCATATATTATCACCTGTATGTGTTACCAGTGTTGGTAGCCCCCTGCTATGAGTAAACTTAATCAAGTTTTGAGAAGGAAGTGTCCTGATTATCTTGCAGAAAATATTCATATCCTACTGGGGATGTGTTAAAACAATTAGCACTATAAATTTATAATTAATAACAGAGTACGGAAGACACTTTTGATTTTTAATATATATTATATAAAATTGAAAATGAATTCTGTATGCTGATTACATATTCTTCTTCTGTTCTATAATTATGCTTGCATACAGGGGAGAATTGCAGAAAAATTTGCAACAACTTAATAAAATAGAAAGGAGGAACTATCTTTATTTTGAAGATAATTTTTTTTTCTAAAACCATAAATTAGATATTTCAACACTTTCTCATGGGTACTTGGGTCTTTGTTTATAAAAATATATACCTATTGATTATGTTAAAAAAGTGCTTTTCTTTTTGTTAAACCAAGACCCTAGTACCTGTGCACGTTCTATTAACTCTCGATCACGTGCAAAGAGAGATAACTCCGACAACCTATTTCCTTCAGTGCAGGCAAATGCTGCCGTCCTTTAACGTTCAGTTTAAGTCCATGCTAGAGGACTTAAATAGGCATCTACGTAGCCTTTAAATGTAATCATTCATTCTTTGAAAATAAAAAATTCTCCCCATTTATATGATTTAATTTATTTTTTCACAAAGAAGAGAAACATGATACTTGTTCAACATTATCTGGATTGTTTAAAAAATTTTCTTCGAACTTACAGTTCAAATCAAAGCATAGAACAACCCCTACCCTTTTCACCCCCTATATCTTTTTCTGAAAGAAAATGGGTGAAAAAAAAAGCCTATGGTCCCAGAGATATGAACTCAAGGTGATAAATCTCAATTTATAACAAAATTTTCTTTGATATTTCATCAAACATTCACGACGTACAGTTTTAAAAATTTCGACAATTTGCAAAATCTTACAAAGTCTGAAATTTTTCGTCTATGAAATAAAATTCTGACTATACTTGTATAACACAACATTCGTACATATCAAAGAAATACTTGGAAGTCAATTTAGTCAAGGTTTTACTACGAACACGATTTAAATGCCACTACTAGTCGTGAATTGCTTAGTGTAGGCTAAGGGGTAAGCGTTTTAGTCTCACAAAAAATTATACTCAGGATTTTTTGGCTAGGGTTTGAACCCCAAGAAAACCACATTAATTTTTAAAAAATAACGTTTTGGCAAGAAAATTTTCTGCAAAAGTTTTGACAAAATTTCATACCTTTCAATAATAAGAACTTTACCCTAAATAATATATTCACAAATTAAAAATGATTTTTTATAAATCTGAAGCCAAAAGCATTCTGCATGCCTTGTTTGCCCATCTCCTTCTGGTTTGACAAACAAATGCCTTGTAACCCTTAAAGGTAGTAAAACCATTCAAATAAAGCATCTTGAAATGCACAACTGTTCACATTTCCTCAATACGACAGCGATATCCATGACCAATTGGAGTGAACACAGTTTAGTTTTTCTAAATTTATTGTTTACAATTGACACAAATACAAACATTTTTCATATAACAAAACCATTTTAAATAAAACATAAAGTTTATGATAAAGACTTTTTGAACAATGTTTGTGAATGTGTCACAATGTGTCTCTTGCAAATACGTGTTTTGTCTCTTTTTTAAAAGCCCCGAGTTAACTTTTTCACATCTGTAACTGTTCTGAATTTTTATGCAAGGCTGTTCTTTGTTCGCTTGCAACGTATTTTTACTAGGTAGTTCACACGAATACAAAGTTAATTGTTTCATATATAAATATCAGTGAGAGCAGCAAAATGTTAATAAAATCTATAAATCATCGTCGTCATCTGGGAGTGCGACCTCTACTGCGGCTTGTAGCTCTTGTTCATACTGTGCAGCTAGATTTGGGTCCATCTTGATGTCTGGCGGTTGGAGGGCAGGCATAGCAACAAATTCCAAATTGGCATCTCCAACCAATTTTCTGGCCAACCAAAGGAACGGCTTCTCGAAGTTGTAGTTACTCTTGGCGCTAATATCGTAGTACTGTAAGTTCTTTTTACGGTGAAACACGATGGCTTTGGCCTTCACTTTTCGATCTTTGATATCAACTTTGTTTCCACACAAAACAATGGGGATATTTTCACAAACGCGCACCAGATCTCTGTGCCAATTAGGGACATTTTTGTAGGTCACACGAGATGTGACATCAAACATAATAATGGCGCATTGTCCTTGAATGTAGTAACCATCTCTCAGACCACCAAATTTTTCTTGACCAGCTGTATCCCAAACATTGAAGATGATCTCGCCACGAGTTGTGTGAAATTTCAATGGATGGACCTCAACGCCTAGTGTGGCAACATATTTCTTCTCAAATTCTCCTGTGACGTGTCTTTTGACGAATGTTGTCTTTCCCACACCACCATCTCCCACAAGAACAAGTTTAAATGTAGGAATTTGATCCGCCATTGTGAGTCTCAGTCAATCCGGTGTGCTACGCAAAATGGCGCGCCTGCCAAGAGTTTCACTCTTTTATGAAAGAAGGTAGCAAAATTAGCATGCGCTCAGGAAGTGCGCAGATGAAAAACGTACTTCCGGAGTAAACATCTCAATTTACATTCGTTCATAGAAGTAAAAGATGGACGAGTTGCAAAAGCTTGAGTATTTGTCTCTGGTCTCTAAAGTTTGTACAGAACTTGAGAACCATTTGGGACTAAATGACAAGGACTTAGGTATGAAAATTGAGTGTAAAGAAGGAACTCGAATTTTCTCCAAAATGAAGAGATGGTGTAACATTTATATCAACTACAATCCAGTTATTACTGGCAAAAACCCGTTAAACCTGTTTAATATTACCAAGATTTATAAATGGAAATGGTTATATATACACATTACAGTAATATATAGGACGGTGCGACCGTTAGTGAGGGTTATTAAAGAGAGCAATTTGTTGATCGATTCTAAAATATGTATTTATATTCAGAGTCGGAATAGGACAACAAAAATTTCAGTCCTTTAAAAGTCTAGAAGAACCTCTACCAGAGATCTATACACTATGCATAAGTCCTGACGCTTACCAGTCTGGTCGAACCCCCAAATTGGCGTATACATATACCCTCAAACTAGGGTTTTCTGGCCCGTCATGCAATGCACATCATCGATATAATGACCATGGCATTAATGGATTATAAACTATCAAAACTCCTTGAATCTGTCATTTAGGAGTAATTTTACATTTGCTAAATGATCTTTTACACCAGCATTTTTTGTAAACCTCTACTTTTTGAGTGAAATACGCACATTTTGCATCTACACATGCTTGTACTCCCATTCGGGGATGTGGTTTTCCCATTCTGTTTACACCATTTTGAGGGTTCGACCAGACTGTTTATTAAATGTAAATCACCAAATTTTCGCAACATCTTATTTTCGCCAGATAGGTATTTGGTATTAATAAGAGAGACAAAATTTTCACGAATGCTGGTTTTTGCTGTAATACTATATATCCTATGCAATTAAAAATATATGCGAGAATGAAATTTTTGCAAGCAGACCGTCTTACGTAATTACGAGAAAATAAAGTACTTGTGAATGGAAAGTGATTTGGAGTAATCAAGATGGATTTGAAAGTTATATATACATCTCTTTGTCTTTTCAGCTGAATTTATCATACATCTCGCAGAAAAGAATGATACTTATGAGAAGTTTAAAAAAGCTTTGGATGAAAATGGTGCTGAGTTTGCGGTAAGAAATGGTGTTTAATTAATTTATTACTCTGTATTTGAAATAAATTAAACATTTCTTAGATGAAATGTGAAAAATGAAATAGTCTATGATCAGGGATGGGGTATTGGTAATGTGTTATGCTAATTAACAGTAATTAATAACAAATTTCTATGTAATTGAAAGACTGAAAGTCATGTGTAATTGGCCAAACTTTCAATTACATGTACATGTGTAATTGTAATTCAAATAATTTTGAGAAAAGGCATGTAATTCACATTACTTCTCAATAACATTCAATTCACACTGATGTATAATAAATAAAAAATACTTCCTGTTTTTGTGTTGTTTTTTTTTTCAATTTTAATTTGTAATTTCATTAATTATACTTGCAAAGTTATTGTACGAGGGATGATCAAAAAGTTCACGAACTAATTGAATTACTTTCATGAAAGAAATGAAATTAGGCTTCAGTGTTCCTTATTTTTTAAAGTAGTCCTCTCTGAATTTAATGCACATCTTCCACTGTTCTGCCCATGCGCGAATCACGTATCCAGGAGGTCACGTGACATGCTCTGTGGCGTTCTGTTCACAGAAGCTAAAAGATTTTTCCTAGTCCTATATTTCTTACCTTGCAAGTTATTTTTTATAACAAAAAATGTCCATTTGTCAGAAATGGCCGAATTTCGAAAATAGGATGGGTGGATAAAGATGTCCTTTCCAAGAATGAGCATGGTGACCATCACAACCCGAGTTCTCTGTCTTAAAAACATCGATTATCCGATATGTATATAGTATAGATGCCTTCTTTTTATGAAATCTGATATGTTTAAAGTTTAAAATAAACAATATTTTAGGGATTTAGTAATTGTATTATTGTTAAAATATTCAACTATTTTTCTAACTGTTAGTTGGTGATCTTTCATAACAAATTGCTCAACTAAAGACACACCTCTTCCCCAGCTTGCTTTCACTAGGCAGCATAACAAACATCATTTTTAACCACCCCCCTTCCCTCACTAAAATAATCAATCCAATTAATAATTGAACTTCTGGCAAGTCTTTTGTCTTTATATAAACCTTGTACAAATTATCATATGCTACTGCAAAAGAATTTCCGAGATATACTTTAAACTTTACAGCCTTTTGTTGCTCAACTACGACTGAGTCAACTATTTTTTGTCACAAAACACCTGCATTGTGACATCATTTTCACATTGTGACGTCAAAAACATGTAGCAAAACATTACATAACATCTGCTATTTATAGAACATATGTAATTCTATATTTGTGCCAAATTGTATTCTAATCTGAACTGTGGTTTTCTAAATATAGAGATAGTTCGCGAACTTTTTGATCACCCCTCGTAATTTAATTAATTACTTTTCAAAATCTTTGTAATGGTGATGGTTGTTTAATAAAAGGTTTTGGGCAAGTAGTTGTGATTTGATTAATTACTTTCTTATGTAATTGGTCCCATCCCTGATGATATGCCACAAGTTGTGGAAAGAAAAAAAAGGAACCAATTCTAACACAATTTGAGTTGTATGTATTGCATATTTAAAAATAAAAAGAAACCCTTTCCTGTTAATTCCTGTATCAAACTTATCGTATACTTTGGTATTTTTTTTTAGGATTCATTGGTTGCAAATCTGCTCAGATTGATTCAGAAAATGAAACCAAAACCACAGAAAGAAGCCAAGAAAGAAATAGAGACTGACAAAGAAAGTGTCCAGAGTGATGTGGAGATCAAAAAGAAGTTATTCCCAGGGTTAGCTCTGGCAAACGACCCCAAAACCAGGGTGAGTGGGGATAATTTCTACAGCTTGATTTGGTCATTTATACCAGGTAACAAAGTTGAATTAAACCATATGAGGGAGAAAAATTTGCATCATTTTTGAAAGTCTTGATAAAAGAATAAATAATTCTCTTAACTTTTTATTTTTATTTTTAAAAGCCATAATTTGGAACTCTCAAAAGGAGATTGTTAAAATTGCATGGAATTAATTACTTTTTTACAAATATCAACAGTGAAATACTGTGTCAGATTTATTTATTGAATAAAAGTGATATTCTCTCACAGTGTGAAAGGATACCAAAATGATATTTTGTCACAGTGTGAAAGGATATCTAAGTAAAAAATGATTTCTGGGCTGTAATAAGATATAGTTACTAAACCATCTTGAAAAACTAAAACTGCCACTTTCTTCCCAAATATGTTGCTAAAATCCATGTTACAATGTTTTCAATCTCACAACTGCTAAGCTGTGATGTCAAAGCCTATGACACCATGTTAAGAAAAGACAGAGGCAATGGGAAGAATCAAAGAATTTAAAATGTAATAAACAGAAAATTCAATGTTTTGTAGTTGAATATGGAATTTATTTCACTCGTGAGACAGGATTTTTTGATATTTTCACTTGTGCTTCGCACTCGTGGAAATATAAAAAAAATTCTGTCCCACTCGTGAAATAAATTCCATATCCAACTACAAAACATCGCATATCCTCTATGTATTCTTGCAGTATCATTTGTCCATAATCTAAACATATCTCATGACCTCAATTCTTAATTATGTCACCATGGTCATTGTCATGGAACAGATATGTGTTGAGTTTGATGCAAGTCTTTTTTAAAACTATATACAAAGTGTATGTAACCTTGCTTTCTCTACTGTGACTGAATTAATATGCTACCATGCTGTTGTCCTTTATTTAATCATGTGTACATCTTTTTTTAAGGGCATTTGAAGGTTGTATGGAAATAAGATGTTGAAATATTTAATACGGTCTACTTCAGATATGTTGAAATCCAAGAGACCAACACATTATTTTTTTTCAATATAACCAATGTTCAATGAAGAGAAATTGGCCTATGCTGATGTTTTTAAATCTTGATCCCAATCTAAAACAACTTGGAAAACCTGAACCAACTATACAATTAACTTTACAATATTTAAATAGTGAAATGAAATAGTTTGTTCATTGAAGATTTTTTTTTCAAAAAGTCTATAATTTTCTGATTTTTATTCCTTATCTGTAAGGGCGAAAGTTGCCAAACTCCCATGGAATTGAAATGGGTTTGAACTTCGAAGGCTGCATGCTGTTTGTACATGTATATCATTGCTAGTGTGTGCATGGGTTTATCCCAAAATCCTTTACTAATTTGGAATTAGATTTCACAATTTTATCTTTAAGCAGACATTAATTCATTTTAATTAACTAAAAACATTGTTTTTCTTTCTTGTGATTTATCTGTTCACACAACAGCTGTTCAAAAGTGTTAATTGTCAATATTTGATCTGAGAGAAGAAGACACCCCTCAGTAATTTATTATAAAAACATGCAAGGATGACATATTAGTTAAAAATATATCTACTGACACCTTACCATCTCTATAATTAGAATGTCACCAACAGCGATGATGATTGGCCAGGAGGACTTCAACACAAGCATAAAAGAAAAGTAAAAACAACTCATTATCAGCTTAGCAGGCTGATAATTTACTTAAAAAATAAGTGATGATTCAACATAAGTGATTTAAATTTAACCAATATTTTGTTGCAAAGATAACAAGAAACTGAGACTTGGGATTTAGTTTTAGTTAAAAATAAGAAATATTTCAAAATGAGGGATTTCAATATAAGTGGAATAGGCTGTATTATTTCAAAATTTTGATGTGAATTCATTTCAGACCACAGTTAAAATAATTTCATATTAAATAAATTCATATTAAAGTTTCTTATTTTTCACACCCCTACAATTTGTTTTTTAGCTCACCTGAGCTGAAGGCTCAAGTGAGCTTTTCTGATCGAAATTTGTCCGTTGTCTGTCGGTGGCTGTGTTGTTGTCGTAAACTTTTCACATTTTCATCTTCTTCTCCAGAACTACTGGGCCAATTTCAATGTGAAGGAGATTCAAGTTTGTTCAAATGAAGGGCCACGCCCTCCTCCAAGGGGAGATAATTACAAAATAGCAAAAAATAAATGGCATTATTGAAAAATCTTCTTCTCAAGAACCAATGGGCCGGGAAAGATGAAACTCATGTGGAATTATTGTCAGGTAGTGTAGATTCAAATTTGTTCAAATCATGACCCCTGGGGTAGGGTGGGGCCACAATGGATGATCAAAGTTTTACATAGGAATATATAGGAAAAATCTTCAAAAATCTTCTTCTCAAAAACAGCAAAGCAATGATTGGTCATATTTATTTGGAAGCATCCTCAGGTGGTGTGGGTTCAAGTTTGTTTAAATCATGACCCCCAGGGGTAGGGTGCGGCCACAATGGACAAATAAAAGTTTAATGTAGGAGTATATAGGAAAAATCTTCTTCTCATGAACAGCAAAGCCATGATTAGTCAAATTTATATGGAAGCATCTGCAGGTGGTGTAGATTCAAATTTGTTCAAATCATGACCCCCGGGGGTAGGGTGGGGCAACAATGGATGATCAAAGTTTTCATAGAGTATATAGGAAAAATCTTCAAAAATCTTCTTCTCAAGAACAGCAAAGCTATGATTTGTCATATTTATTTAGAAGCATCCTCAGGTGGTGTAGATTCAATTTTGTTCAAATCATGACGCCCAGGGGTAGGGTGGGGCCACAATGGACGATCTAAGTTTTACATAGGAATATATAGGAAAAATCTTTAAAAATCTTCTTCTCAAGAACAGCAAAGCAATGATTGATCATATTTATATGGAAGCATCCTCAGGTGGTGTAGATTCAAGTTTGTTCAAATCATGACCCCCGGGGGTAGGGTGGGGCCACAATGAACGATCGAATTTTTACATAGGAATATATAGTAAAAATCTTCTCAAGAAAAGCAAAGCCACGGTTTGTCATATTTATATGGAAGCATCCTCAGATAGTGTAGATTCAAGTTTGCTCAAATCATGACCTCCAGGGGTAGGGTGGGGCCACAATGAAAGTTCAAACTTGTAGAGAAAAAAGTCACAGTAAAGAAATTATGTAAGCATCCTTAGTTAGTGTAGATTTAATTTCGTTCAAATCATCCCCCCTACTCTCTTTTAGGGGTGGGTTGGGACCACTTATGCATTTAAGCTTTACAATACTAAACTGATTTTTTAGCTCTACTGGTCAGTGACCAGAAGAGCTTATGCGATAGTAAGTTGTCCGTCGTCCGTCTATCTAGCTGTCTGTCCGTCTGTCTGTCTGTCTGTCTGTCTGTAAACAATTTTTTAGCTCACCTGAGCCGAAGGCTCAAGTGAGCTTTTCTGATCACATTTTGTCCGTTGTCCGTCTGTCCGTCTGTCTGTCCGTCCGTCTGTAAACTTTTCACATTTTTGACTTCTTCTCAAGAACCACTGGGCCAATTTTGACCAAACTTAGTACAAAGCATCCTTGGGTGAAGGGGAATTTAAATTGTTAAAATGAAGGGCCAAGTCCCCTCACAAGGGGAGATAATCAAGAGAAGACAAAAATAGGGTGGGGTCATTAAAAAATCTTCTTCTCAAGAACCACAGGGCCAGTAAAGCTGAAACTTATATGGAAGCATCCTTGGGTAGTGTAGATTCTAAATTGTTCAAATCATGACCCCCGGGGGTAGGGCGGGGCCACAATGTGGAATCAATGTTTTACATAGAAATATATAGGAAAAATCTTTAAAAATCTTCTTCTCAAGAACCACTGGGCCAGAAAAGCTGAAACTTATGTGGAAGCATCCTGGGGTAGTGTAGATTCTAAATTGTAAAAATCATGACCCCCGGGGGTAGGGCGGGGCCACAATAGGGAATCCTAGTTTTACATTGAAATATATAGGAAAAATCTTCAAAAATCTTCTTCTCAAGAACCACTGGGCCAGAAAAGCTGAAACTTATGTGGAAGCATCCTGGGGTAGTGTAGATTCTAAATTGTTCAAATCATGACCCCCGGGGGTAGGGCGGGGCCACAATAGGGAATCCAAGTTTTACATTGAAATATATAGGAAAATCTTTAAAAATCTTCTTCTCAAGAACCACTGGACCAGAAAAGCTGAAACTTATGTGGAAGCATCCTGGGGTAGTGTAGATTCTAAATTGTTCAAATCATGACCCCCGGGGGTAGGGCGGGGCCACAATAGGGAATCCTAGTTTTACAAAATATATAGGAAAAATCTTTAAAAATCTTCTTCTCAAGAACCACTGGACCAGAAAAGCTGAAACTTATGTGGAAGCATCCTGGGGTAGTGTAGATTCTAAATTGTTCAAATCATGACCCCCAGGGGTAGGGCGGGGCCACAATAGGAAATACAAGTTTTACATTGAGATATATAGGAAAAATCTTTAAAAAAAACTTCTTCTCAAGAACCACTGGCCAGAAAAGCTGAAACTTATGTGGAAGCATCCTGGGGTAGTGTAGATTCTAAATTGTAAAAATCATGACCCCCGGGGGTAGGGCGGGGCCACAATAGGAAATACAAGTTTTACATTGAGATATATAGGAAAAATCTTTAAAAAAACTTCTTCTCAAGAACCACTGGGCCAGAAAAGCTGAAACTTATGTGGAAGCATCCTGGGGTAGTGTAGATTCTAAATTGTTCAAATCATGAACCCCGGGGGTAGGGCGGGGCCACAATAGGAAATACAAGTTTTACATTGAAATATATAGGAAAAATCTTTAAAAATCTTCTTCTCAAGAACCACTGGGCCAGAAAAGCTGAAACTTATGTGGAAGCATCCTCAAGTAGTGTACACTCTAAATTGTTCAAATCATGACCCAGGGGATAGGGCGGGGTCACAATAGGGGGGATCCCAAGTTTTACATTGAAATATATAGGAAAAATCTTTAAAAATCTTCTCAAGAACCACTGGACCAGAACAACTGAAACTTATGTGGAAGCATCCTGGGGTAGTGTAGATTCTAAATTGTTCAAATCATAGCCCCTGGGGGGAGGGTGGGGCCACAATAGGTATTACAAGGGGGGAGTCTGGTAATGAACAGCATGGCCAAAGTTACTCAGGTGAGCGATGTGGCCCATGGGCCTCTTGTTAAAATGCTACTTCTCCTACAGTTTTGGTTTGATTTCAGTATAACTTGGCACACAAGTACACTACACTAAGATACATAATTCTGTATATCGATTTTTGATTTTGGTGAACGATGTTGCCATGGTTACTAAAAATAGAAATTTCTGTGAAATACTTTCAAAATATTACTCCTCCTACAGTTTTGGTCTGATATCAATATAACTTGGCAAACAAGTACACTACACTAAGATACATAATTTTGTATATCGGTTTTTGATTTCAGTGAACAGTGTTGCCATAGTTACTAAAAATAGAAATTTCTGCGAAATACTTTTAAAATGCTACTTCTCCTACAGTTTTGGTTTGATTTCAGTATTACCTGGCATACAAGTACACTACACTAAGATACATAATTCTGTATATCGGTTTTTGATTTCGATGAACGGTGTTGCCCTGGTTACTAAAAATAGAATTTCTGTGAAATACTTTCAAAACTCTACTCCTCCTACAGTTTTGGTCTGATTTCAATATTACTTGGCACACAAGTAGATTACACTAAGATACATAATTCTGTGTATCGGTTTTTGATTTTGATGAAGGGAGTTGCCCTGGTTACTAAAAATAGAATTTCTATGAAATACTTTCAAAACTCTACTCCTCCTACAGTTTTGGTCTGATTTCAGTATAACCTGGCACACAAGTAGATTACACTAAGATACATAATTCTGTATATCCATTTTTTGATTTTGGTGAAGTGTTACCATGGTTTCAAAAAAGATGAAATTTCTTTGACATACTTTCAAAACATCACTTGTCACCCCCGTGGCGCAGTGGTAGAACGTTTGCTCTAGAGTCGCAGAGTAAGGAGTTGATCCTTACATCGCAGGTTCGAATCCAGCTATGGGACATGGAGACCGGTCCTTCGGATGAGACCGTATAAACCAAGGTCCCAATTTCGCAGTAGGTGCTGGCACAAAAAAGATCTCTTACTGCTCAGTGGCCCAGAGTGCCGAGCATAGGTCAAAATTTGCAGCTCTCCACCAGCAAGTGGTGGCGTCTCCATATGAGTGAAAAATTCTTGAGAGGGATGTTAAACAACAAACAAACAAAATATTACTTTGCCTACAGTTTGGTCTGATTTTAATATAACATGGCATGCAAGTAGACTACATGAGATACGTAATAGTCTTTATTTTTTTTTTGATTTTGATGAATGATGATTCCATAGTAACTAGAATAAAAATTTCTCTAAAATTCTTTTGAAAGGCTACTCTTTCTACAGTTTTAGTCTGATTGCAATTCATCTTGCAACAAAAAGAGAGTAAAACAAGGATTATTATTTATTTATTGCTGTTGCAAAGTTTTAAGTCCAAGTGCTACTTTTCTCTTCCTTTGTTATAAGTACAAACCAGTAGAGCTACAGTCTCGACAGAGACTTCTGGTCCTTTTTTCCTAGCCACAGTGCTCAGGTGAGCGATGTGGCCCCTGGGCCTCTTGTTTAAAAGATGGACAACAAATATTTCATCTTTCCATGCAATGATCATTTTTATTTTTTTTATTCAGAACATGTTACTGGATGAAGATGAGGAAAAACCAATCAAAACAGAGAGGACAGAAGATATTAAGCCAATCAAGACAGAGGTTACAGATGTTGATGTGGCAGGTGATATGATGAATGAACTAGAAGCACTAATGAATGCTCCAGCACCAAAAGAAAAAAAGTAAGCAAAACTATTAAAATACTATGAAACCAATTCAATGATTTCACAAAAACAATTTTTGTGAATTGCTGGCATTCTCTATTTTGTTGCATCAAGCAATGTGGAATTATGCATTAAGAAAATATTTGAAAAGTGAAAGAAAACATGTAAACTAGATAATCAATGATAATCAGGTCTATTGTCATATAGAGAGGTGTATTCAGGAGAACTGAACTCTCATAATTGTCCACAATTGATGACTGTGTCACGAATACATTTACATGTATATCAGCTTTTATTATGTATTGCATTGTTTTTTTTTTTTTGTTTTTGTTTTTTTTTTGTAAAAAAATGTTCCTTAAACTTTTTTTTTTTTTTTAAAAAATAGCAGTATTTGAAAAGGGGGAAAAAGGCAAAAGAGCATCAGTTCATTTTATTGCATAAAATCAAAATAATTTAATTTTTCTAGTAATAGGGAAAAGGATAGAAGGAGAGATCGAAGTCGCAGCAGGGAGCGAGATAGAAGGTAATAAAAAGGTCATATCAGAAATCTAACATTTCATTGTAAAAATAGGTAGAATATGTAAAGGTAGAGAAAATGAAAAGGCTATATTATTTTGTGAATTTTATGGTTGCATTTACTTTTTTTAATAACTAAAATATTGATTTTAATGGTCGCGATTAATTTAAGCAAATTTCATTTTATGAGTTGCTAATGTTTCAATAATTGCGGACATTTCGCTTTATACTGTTGTCAAGTCTGATATTACACTATTATATTATTTATATATTTTCGTAATAATTGTAAAAGATAATTATGTAAACTCTATATGTAATATTTATTAAAGGAGAAGAAGAAGCAGGTCTAGAGATAGATCGAGGTCAAGAAGTCACGATAGAGACAGACGAAGAAATAGGTCAAGGTCACGAGACAGAGATAAAAGACGACGAGATCAAAGATCTCGAAGCCGTGAGAGAGACAAAAAGAAATGGAGACAAAGGGACAGAGAAGAGCTCCCTATAGACCCTGAACCAGGAAGGGTAGGTTACCTTAATGTAGCAGGAAGGGTAGGTTACTGTAATGTAGCAGGAAGGGTAGGTTACCTTAATGAAGCAGGAAGGATAGGTTACCTTAATGTAGCAGGAAATAAAAATCAAGATCTGGTGTTCTTACAGATTTTGGAGTAACATTATACTGACGGCTAGAGTGAGTATTTCTTGTGTATAGACAAAACGTAAAGTTATCTACTGCATTCAATAAGGCTTGAGATATGTTTTGCATATTTTTAAGAAATATTTTTAAATGAAATTTAAAATGATATTTTCTCATTTAATTAACTTCCTTTCATATGCATAATGTAAATAACTGTAATAAAATCATAGCAACTTGTTGATTAAATTATAGTGATGCTCTGAAATGCACCCTTACAACTTGTTTGGCCGTACTGTTTAGCATGATCACAAACATTGCTGACATCTTAACAATTATGTTTTATTACAAAAGTCCAAACATTTTGCTGGTACATGTATATTGGCACTGAAAAAAAAATGTATCCCGATACGGTATTTTCTGTCAACGAACCATGATACACTGGAATATTGATATTATTGCGCAGCCTTATCACTTACTTGACTTATTCCTGTTTAATCCATAAGGAGCAAAGGGCCACATGAAGATAGTAGATTGCAGCAAAAATCTCCCAAATAAATATTAGGTATATATTTCTACATGTAAATGATGGAATATATGTGTACATATTTATTTAATTTATTTTACAGATATACAATGGGAGAGTCAACACCATTATGCAGTTTGGCTGCTTTGTTCAGTTAGAGGGTCTGAGAAAGAAATGGGAGGGATTGGTTCATATATCGCAGGTGTGTAAATGGCTACTAGAAATAGTTTTTATTTGAAAAATAAATTGATGAAATTTAATTCATAATTTAAACAACTTTTGCTGTTTGAGAAATAATCCAGAAAATGATATTTTAATGGTTGTTTTCTTATGTCTCTAAAATTCCTTCATATCAATTCTTTGCAAGGAATTTCAAATATAGTTTAATAAAGGTCTTTAAAATATGCAGATATTTACATCAATTAATTCAGGAAGATATTCAAGAATAGAGATGTTTTGGATGGTGTACTGAAATTAAAATTGTAAATGTATCATATTAAAAAAATTAATCAGAATCTACTTTGTAAATAATCTATCAGTTACAGTATATGTGTTAATGACACCTTTTCTTTTCAATTGAATTACAGCTAAGGAGAGAAGGGAGGGTCACAAATGTAAGTGACGTGGTGCAGAGAGGTCAAAAAGTCAAGGTCAAAGTCTTGTCATTCAGTGGCCAGAAAACAAGTTTATCTTTAAAGGTACGGTACACATGGTACAGAGGTATGGTACACAGAGAGAGAGAGAGAGAGAGAGTTTAAGCATGAAACATACAGTAAATGCATCATTGGCATATGAAGTAATACAATCTGTATTTGAAATCTGAACTAAATTTGAAAGCTTAGTAAGTATTGTGAGTCACTGTTAAATGAAGTTGTTATGTTACTATATATAAACACATTCCATTCTCAGGATGTTGATCAGGAAACTGGAGAAGACTTAAACCCATCAAAGACCAAGACTCTGGTAGGTGGAGAAATCCACAACAATCAAGTGGAGGCCAGGAACCCAGATCGACCCTCCACAATGCCACTAGTGGAACACATCCCAGAAATCGATGACAGCAGTGAAAAGAAGCGATATCAGAGAATGTCATCGCCGGAGAGATTTGAGATCCAACAGATGATTGCTGCAAACGTCATTGATAAATCAGAGCTGCCAGATTTCGATGAGGAGATGGGAGTGCTTGTGAAAGACGACGACTCAGATGAGGATATAGAAATAGAACTGAAGGAAGAGGAGGCGCCATTCCTGACTGGACATGGAAGAGGAGGTCTAGATCTTAGCCCTGTTAAAATCGTCAAGGTAACGTCAGTATCAAATCTTTTATGTTTTTACATATTTTATGTTTTTTTGCAGAGAAGTTTTTTTAATATAAGTTTGTTTATAATTTTGACCATCTATTGATTCTGCTAAATGTATATAAAGAGAATATTGTCAACTATGTTCAAATATTTTTTGCTGTAAAATGAAATTGTTGATTAACTGAAAAACACAGTAACATGTACCGGTAGTTTTATTTTTTGTACCTGAGAAAAATATCTACGTATGTATGTATGTGAAATAAAACCATCATTTATATGGCATGTATATGTATAAAATACATATACAGTCTTAGTCATGTACATGCATATCAAGGTAATATCAATTTTTAATGTAACATAAATTTTAAATGCATTTTTACAATACATTGAAATATATTTGTAATTTCTGACCCTGCTTAATTTGACAGAATCCTGATGGCTCTCTGTCACAAGCTGCCATGATGCAGAACGCCCTACAGAAGGAGAGGCGAGAACTGAAGCAGGCTCAGAGAGAGGCTCAGATGGACGCTGTGCCGTCAGGTCTAAATAAAGACTGGATCGATCCCATGCCAGAGGGTAGGTTCTATTGTATCATCATACATTAATTCATGTAGAAACAGAGACACCAGGAAATCTTATCTCTGAATATACAGTATCTCTATCACATTACCATTTGACTCAGTATAAAGAATAACACAATTTCATAAGGGGAGGGGTGGGGTGGGGGTGGGTGGGTTGTTATTTTCATTGTTTTGTGGTATGAAGCCATCATGAAGAATTCATGGCTCCATAAAATATGAAGATAGTAATCAAGACAACTCTTCATTTACAAAATCAAGCCCCCACAAATGAGTATTTTTCCACAAAACCCAAATCTGACTCCATGAAATTAAATGATTCCACAGTATTTGATACTCAATATTATAAAAAAGAGAATGTACCTACAGTAGTGGAATGGTTGAGCAGTTCCTGTGGTTGTATGTTTTCTCAGCAGAAAATGTAATTTGAAATACATGTATTTTTAAATAGAAAAATGTAGTAAATGAAGTCAGAAATTAAGCAAAGTGCATTAATAACCCTTTCTGTGTTTGGGGTATTTTCCAGATGGTGACAGAAGGCTAGCCTCTCAGATGAGGGGTGTGGGGATGGCCCCGGCTGATTTACCAGAGTGGAAGAAACACATCTCAGGGGGTCAGAAGGCCTCTTATGGAAAGAAGGAAAAGAAATCACTTCTGGAACAGCGGCAGAGTCTGCCAATATATAAACTCAAAGACGAACTAGTCAAGGTACAGAGTTGTCACCCTTTTTTCAGACTGGTAAAGCAAAAAAACTGAAGAAAACAAAACGAAAAGGAAATTCATGAGAATAATTCAAATTCATTTGAATTATTATCAAATTTAGTCACTGAGATGTCTAAATGATTTAGATAACATACACTGTACATTTGTGTCCAAATTAAGCATGAAGTGTAATATGTTTTAAGTTGTTTAAATTATTATCCTCAGGACTATTTGGGGATACATAAAGGATTTCAAATTTTACAAAGGAGTATGTACATGATAACAATAAAATTTAGAAACTATGGGTCAAGAAAACTTGTGACACCTGATAGATGACTAGACCCATGAGCCTCTTGTATTTTGGTTCTCAGTCATACATGTATATGAACTGAAAATCATATTTGGTTGTAAATGTACATGTATATATGTATGTTTGCAGTTATTTTATACCGTATAACTCAATTTTAGGCTGTGACAGACAACCAGGTATTGATTGTCATTGGTGAGACAGGATCAGGAAAGACAACTCAGATCACACAGTATCTTGCAGAGGCAGGGTATACAACATCAGGGAAGATAGGCTGTACTCAGCCTAGACGAGTGGCCGCTATGTCGGTTGCCAAACGAGTCTCGGAGGAATTTGGTTGTCGACTGGGACAAGAGGTAAGTTTTTTTTTCGATATTTGAAATGACATTACTCTCCCCTATTGACTTTTAAGAAAATTTCATATTTATCTTTTGAAGAAAAATTTTTAGAATATAGTACCGCTGTATTTTGTTTTGTGTGTATTTAGGGTGTCAAATGTATGGTAACAAAAAATTATGCTTGACAAAATATCTAAGTAACCATTATCAAGTCTGAAGTCTGATGGGTCACATTTTATAAAGCAAGGGATACTTTATCAGGCAACTCATTGCATCAATCTATTTATGATCCTAATTTGATTGCTGAAAATACAAATAGGAAAATGCTAAATATGAATATTTAAGATATAGATTTAAAAAAAAAAAAGAAAGAAAAAATACTTCAAAATGTTTTTAAAGAATAAACTCTCTGTAGATCTCTTGTTGAAATGATAATATAAATGAACATGCACATGTTCTGTATAGATATGTATGGGATGGTAATTTCCTGAACCTTTATAATGATTTCATATTATTCTTTAGGTTGGCTACACAATTCGTTTTGAGGATTGTACGAGTCCTGAGACTAAGATCAAATACATGACAGATGGTATGATGCTGAGAGAATGTCTGATAGACGGCGATTTAACTCAGTACAGTATCATCATGTTAGACGAGGCTCACGAGCGAACTATACACACAGATGTGTTGTTTGGTTTACTGAAGGCGGTAAGTATATGTATGTAGGTAATTTTAATTTACTGTAAGAGCAGAAATATTTGTTTCGGATTTAATTTTGTTTATTTCGTTGTTAAGAATTATTAACAAAATTAAATCCCATATGAAATTTTATATGACTTTATAATGAGTAGGGTTGCATTCGTAACAACAAAATTTAATGCCCACGAAACGCTTTTAAATGGCAAATCAACGAAATTTTATCCCCACGAAAATTTGTGTTTCTACAGTAATTATACACTTCAACTGCTATATGTATCAAAAAAATCCAAACAAAATAGCTGAATTTGAATTATCAGAGGAAGAAAAGCACACACACTAGAAATTCATGTGTTTTTAGTATTAGGCTGAATGACTTTATTGTTAAAATATTTCATTCTTTAGACTCTAAGAATTAGCAAAAAAATTTAAATTTGGTTTGGCATTAATTAGCATGATAGAACATGTTGACATGTAGATATAAGTCTTGATGTTGATTTTTGAAGACATTTTTGTCTAACTACAGGCCGTACAGAAGAGACCAGAACTGAAGCTCATCGTAACCTCTGCCACTCTGGATGCCGTCAAATTCTCACAGTACTTCTTTGAAGCGGTAAAATCATTCATTACAGTACATTGTAATTTTTACTTACGTGATAATATACATGTAAATGGGAAAATACTTTATTCTTTTATTACGATAATAGGTAAACTTTGCAAAATAACTGTCATTTTTCTTTGCAAACAGAAAAACTCTGGATCTGTTTTAAATAGAAAATGACCAGGTTATTTTTTTATGTTTTTAATACTTTAATACATGTATGTGTAATTTTGTGTATTAAATATTTATCAAGAGTGTGTAGATTCAAGGTTTGAAATGATATCTGTATATTTTGTAGCCTATTTTCACAATCCCAGGAAGAACGTACCCTGTGGAGGTTCTGTATACTAAAGAAGCGGAGTCCGACTATCTGGACGCCTCAATGATAACGGTTATGCAGATTCACCTGATGGAACCACCAGGTAAAATACATGTGGCTAATGTCTGGACACCTCAATGATAACATGTAAATAAATGCACTGGAACACAGAAAATACTTGCGTCAATATTATTTTTTCTTGCATAGTGATTTGAATTACCCCCTAGCATAAATTTCTCTGTTTATTTATTTAATAGTTATACAAATGAATACAATTTTGGTCTGTAGGAGATATCCTGCTGTTTTTGACGGGTCAGGAGGAGATCGACACCGCCTGTGAGACCCTGTACGAGCGGATGAAAGCCCTGGGCCCCGAGGTCCCAGAGCTAATTATCCTCCCCGTGTACAGTGCCCTCCCCAGTGAAATGCAGACCAGGATATTTGAACCCACTGCCCCAGGATCTAGAAAGGTAAAAGTAGAAATCAGTTTAAAGGTCATTAGCAAAGGTCAGAAATAGATAATGATATGGTATATGCATTGCTAATATGGCAGGACTCAACTTCAACCCTGATGATCAAATGTACAACATATTCTTGTCAATTTAAATCAATTGTTTGGTCACAATGCTCTTCTTTTCTTGTCAGATTTGTTAAACTAAAGTAATGATTAGCAAATCAATATGTTCTTACCTGAGTGTATACATATGTAGATAATTTTTCCTTCCGTTTTATCAGGTTGTCATAGCTACTAACATTGCTGAAACTTCCCTAACTATTGATGGCATTTATTATGTGGTGGATCCAGGATTTGTCAAACAAAAAGTTTACAACTCTAAGACAGGAATGGACCAGCTTATCGTCACACCTATCTCACAGGTATAGCATGACAATTTTTCAGACAATAAAAGAACAGTAAAACACACTTATAGCAAACTTACAGTGAAGTGATTTTCATTCCCTGTGGCTTTAAAATATATTATGTACTTAACGAAGTCAACATAACAAATTACATTTATAATGAAGCAAAATTGTCTATCCCTGGCACTTCGTTATAAGCATGTTTTACTGTACAGGATTTTAATATTTTTTCTGAAGTTTTAGTACTTTCAAATGGTTTAGAAAACCTTCAAACTTTAATAGAATAACACTCATAATGGAAAATATTTAATGCCATTTTTGGATTGGAATTGTGAGCATTTTTCAGAGGAATTTTAGACTCAAGAATAAACAACAATAAAATATAAATATCTAAATTTACAGGCTCAGGCCAAACAGAGAGCCGGTCGAGCAGGAAGAACAGGCCCAGGAAAGTGTTATCGTTTATACACAGAGCGCGCCTACAGAGACGAGATGTTGCCAACAAATGTTCCTGAGATTCAGAGAACAAACTTAGCCAGCACCGTGCTGTCCCTGAAGGCCATGGGGATCAATGACCTACTGTCCTTTGATTTTATGGATGCTCCTCCCATGCAGACCCTTATATCCGCCATGGAGCAGCTTCATGCCCTGAGTGCTCTAGACGACGAAGGTCTTCTGACAAGACTTGGGAGAAGGGTACGTGTGCCGATGGGGAATGATGAATACATACATGTGATAAGTCAAAGAACACAAAACTGTACAGGGGCCATAAAAAAACTGGAATTTGGGTGAAAAAACTGTACACTGCCTATCAAAAAACGGTACAAAAAACAGTATAAAATATCGCTTAAATTCTTCTGATAAGGCACTTTATTTCTAATCCAACAAATATATATTGTTGCAAATGTCTTATTTTAAAAGTTGTAATGGAGATTTGAATGCTTTAAAATTTCATGTGAATTTTGGTGTCCCGCTGGTACACGATGAATGGGCTTGAAAAAATGGTACATTTTGCATACCGCCGGTACATATCACATGTATGTGAATAGTAAAAAAACAAGTTTTTTTTTAATGTTTCATAACATAGCATAAACCACCATTTACAACAATTCTAATATTGAGTGGAATGCTATATATTTTATAAGTGTCATAAATTAATGTATGTGTATACATGACATGTACATTAGGTATTTTTCATATACACATATATACTGTAGATTCCTTATTATATGCAAGTACTTAATTTCGTGAAATGGCCCAAGGGCATCAAATCGCGGGAACAATAATTCGCGAATCGGTGATTTATCTAGAGATTTTACATATTACGTTAAAGCACCATAAAAACAAAAGCGAGTAATCTTATTTCGCGAGTGGTGCTTCTAGTGTAATTACGCGATAATTTATTCCTTGCGTATATTTAGGAATCTACAGTAAATGATTTATATTATTGATATATGTAGCTACTTGTATGATATTTATTTAGATTTTTATTGTTCTTACAATGTAGATGGCTGAGTTTCCTCTGGAGCCCATGTTGTCTAAGATGTTGATTATGTCAGTCCACCTCGCCTGTAGTGACGAAATTCTCACTGTTGTCTCCATGTTGTCCATTCAAAATGTCTTCTATAGACCAAAGGTATTACTTAAATCATAGTGTTTCACCATTATGCTTCATAATTTATCTAACTTATTATCCCCTTGCAACAAAGTTGAAGGGGAGGGGGGGTTATAGTAACACACTTGTGAGTGATTGAGTGTGTGAGTAACAGATGTAGAAATTTACATCGAGATTGATGTACTCTTTTGCAAGGTGATGCTCCACTTTGTGGTGCCCTTGTGTGCTTCCACACCTTCATTTCTATATAAAATATTATGAGAGATAACAAAAAAGGGAGAGAAAAAAGTGTTTGATTAATGTGCAGATCTTGTGATAGACAACATGTTACCTTTACCATGATTATTACTGTCTTCTTAATTTAGCAATATGTTAAGAGTGAAAATGAGTCACAGCACTTAAAACCTTTAAGAACGACACGTTTCAATCTAATGTAAAATGAAGTGTCTAAAATTGAGAAGATAAGCACATCTGTCTTCAAAAGTTTTATTAATGATATAATGGAACTTCAGTATCTCAAACACTGGTATTTCAAATGCCATGGATATGTCAAAGTGATTTGAAAATCCCAACCACAAATTCTTTAAGTATTTTACCCCAATTTCTCGATTCTTTGGATATCTTGAAGTTTATTCTCTGTCCAATCTAGTTCAAGATAACAAGGTTTGACTCTATTTATTGCATTGCATTGAAAGTTGAAAATTCAGATTTGTTGATGTGTTTTTAGGATAAGCAGGACTTGGCTGACCAGAAGAAAGCTAAATTCCACCAGCCCGAGGGGGACCATCTGACACTGCTAGCGGTGTACAACTCCTGGAAAAACAACAAGTTCTCCAGTCCATGGTGCTATGAAAACTTTGTACAAATCCGCACTCTCAAGAGGGCTCAGGATGTCCGCAAACAGATGTTGGGCATCATGGACAGGTAGGTTTCAAAAAGGATCTGCTTACTGTAAACTATGAAGTTAACATACATGTAATGGTAATAATTTCACTATGTTTACAATTCATCGTTTTTCCTCAAGATTTAACCTGTAGTGAATAAGTTTATCAGAACACAGAATTAAGTAAAGTAGTGGTCACAAGGCAGACACTAAAACCATTGCTTTGTGTGCCCTTGTAACAAATCCTGAAATTTTAGCATTCATGGAATAAAAATGACTTGCAATATATAATGGGTATATTTTAAGAAAGTACTAGATTTACACTCAGAATTTTGTTTAAGGGTTTCAACAGAGGTTCAGATTTGATATAAAAATGCATCATCCATCATAAAATTATATCTGTAATACCAGTTGAAAAAATACTGTCCTTATTAGGCCCAAAAAAATTAATCAATAGTTTCTCAGGCACCGCCGCATCAGGCCAAAAACTGCCGCATTGTTCAATTTTATTGACATTTTGAGAAGGGGAATAACTCAATTTCTCTTTTTCCAAGTTGAAAAAAGAAATGAGTTATTCCCCTTTTTATAAATGCTAATAGATGGACGTTTTTGTAAGATAAACAATATATTACTTGTTAATACAGTATTTTTTAATTAACCTTTAAACAAATGTTTGGAATAACATTATTTTAAGTTGGGTGTATATTATAATTAATGTTAAAAGTAAGAATCATTTGATATCTTCATTTTGTTGAATGAAGGTATAACACCTGGTTCAAAAAAAAAAAAAAAAAAAAAAAAAAAAAACAACCACCTGCATGCCACATTGAATTTTGAAATTTTTGTCCTGAGAAACTATTAATTAATTTTATTTGGCCTTAGTGGGTAGCACAATAGTGTGAATTAACTATTATTTGAACTTTGGTTCTCAATTCTGATATCAAATCCAACCATGACTATAAATTTTTGTGACAGAAAAACATTTTGCATATTTGTATGTACATGTAAATACAAAATTACTGGTAAGCAAATGGTTAGAGGCAAGAAATACTTTTGAGTAAAAGGTCATGAAACTTGCAAAAGTTTCTCACACACATATAAAAGTTCATTTAATGTACATGTACATTCCATTGATTGTGTAATGAGGCATGCATATATGGTCACTACATGTTTCTTCATGCAGACTGTAATTTGATTTTATCGTTGATTCATGTAAATGTATACTGACACATGAAATATAACCAGTATTTGGAATATTTTGCAGACATAAGTTAGACGTGGTCAGTTGTGGGAAGAATACTGCTCGGGTTCAGAAGGCCATTTGCAGTGGATTTTTCCGTAATGCAGCAAAGAAAGACCCCCAGGAGGGATATAGGACTCTAGTGGACAGTCAGGTGGTGTACATACACCCCTCAAGTGCCCTGTTCAACAGACAACCAGACTGGTACGTTCTCCTTCGGTATTCCACTATGTGATTGAGATATGTTAGATGTTTGAGAATAGAGTTTTTTATCCTGCAACTACCCCTTGCATTGACCTAATAAAGGTAACCTAATAAACCAAAGCTTTATTTGGTCAATGCCCTAATAAAGCCTCGTGAATGTATTCTGACGTTCTAAAAGCATTGTGACATCATACACATTGCAATGTTTACGCTGTGGCGTCATAGTTTCAACTGCAGAGATGTACCTAAATCGGTTGAAAATAGCTCGTTCGTTTAGAAGGTCTGATGTAAAATATATTGCAGGATAAACAAAATACATGGATACTGTCTTGAAATAGAAGCGATATTTGGGCTCGGGTCGAAAACGTGATAGAAAGCTCGGCAAGCATTGCCCTCTATCACGTTTTCTTACCCTCGCCCAAATATCGCTTATATTTCAAGACAGTAGCCTTGTATTTTATATATATGGTTTTAATATATACGTGTAACATGCAAAAATTTATAAGGTTTATTGGTCATTGACTCTAAATGTCAGATTTAATAGCAGTAATATGTAATATGTAAAACTTAAAAATTAAAATTTCATCTGATATTGAAATCGAGGATATCTGTCTAAATTACCTGTAATGAGTGAATGATGAAGTAAGAAGGGGGGGGTTTATATATAGGCCTTAGTATTGCAAGCTACCTAAAGATACGATACATGTCACGATACGGTCAAGCGATACAACATGTATCATGATACAGCTGTCAACAGTTAAATTAACTGATATCTTTATATACATGTATTCCTGTTTGCCCACATCCACAGTTATAGAAAATATAAAGAGAATATCTTGATACCCATAACCAAAGTTATTTATATTAGGTGGACTTATAGTCTTAGCATTGTATTTTTTCATTGCTTCCTTGTTTTCAATCATTTTGTAACATTAAAATTTGTTAGTTTGCAAGTAGAGTTTTCAAATAAGACAATGAAAAAAATCTGTACTGTATCACGATACATATATGGCAATACGATATGCGTATCGTGAAGATAAAATATTTTATACAGATGTTGACTGTAGAGATGTAATTTGAACTGGGTATTTATTTCTTTGATTTTACAGGGTGATTTACCATGAACTTGTGCTGACAACCAAAGAATACATGAGAGAAGTAACAGCCATTGATCCAAAATGGCTCGTGGAATTTGCACCCAAATTTTTCCGCTTCAGTGACCCAACAAAACTCAGTAAGCAGAAGAAACAACAGAAGATTGAGCCATTGTACAACAAATATGAAGATCCAAATTCCTGGAGAATCTCAAGAGCTTTCAAGAAAGTCCACACAAAAGTTACATTCTAAATTTATATCAACAATCTGTTTCTTTTTGGAACCTTTGTTACTTGAGAGAAAGTGCTTGTCTTACAGTGTATAGATAACATTGAGGATTATTTTAATGTCTCAAAATTTTAAATATTTTAAAAATCATGCCCATTTGTATTAATATACTTTAATGTCTACAAAAAAGGAAATAAAATTGAAGAAAGATAGTGTTCTTTTATTGTGACTTGTTGTGATCTCAGTGCATTGAAAAAAAAACATTCTACAGATTCATCAGTATTTTTATTCTCTTTAAAGAAGTGGACAGGCCTTTCGTCTACATCCACATGGATGAAGGTGAAAGCCTGTCCACTTTTCTAAGAGAATACAGTACTTTTTAGTGGATATGTTTTCTACCTGTAATTTGTGTTCATCTCTTATTTTGTGACAACCACCTGTAAATTATGCTTTTATCACTTTCTTTGCATAAAATTACTAATATTATCTGCAACTAAAGGTATGTCTTGAAGGCTAAGAGAGGAATTTTAATGTCACTTTGGAATTTTGTTATAGACATTGATCTTGAGGGTATTGCATATGCATATATCATTTTATATGGATTGAATCATGTACATATGTAAATGTAATGAAATAAATGTGATGTTAAAAAGAATTGTCTTTGTTCCGTTCAGTATATCTTTATATCCACATATTTATGCAGAAGGCATATCAATAAGAGAATTTAAAAGGCTCCAAAGTTCCAGAATCATGATCAAAATGGAATACTACATAGAAATTTAAAAAAAAGAATGTTTGATTTTGCTTCAGATTGTTTGAATTTTAGTTTAAAAAAACATCATGAACAGGAGAGTTTTTGATAAGTGTTCCTTTAATTTGAATGCTTCAATCAAAAGTGCCACAACCGAACTAGTCTGTATCATCCAGACGTTTGCGTTTAAACGCAAACGTCTGGATGATACAGACTACAACCGAACCAAAATAAGTGGAATATCAGTTGTACGGTGTACCTTTTTATGTTTGCTTCTTCAGTACAACTTATCAAATAACCTCAAACCGGAAGTAAGATATTGCTTTCGATTGCAGCATGGTGAACGTGCAATGATTTTGATGTATTCACAGTATTGAAAATAATATACAAGTTCAATGACATTCTCAGCATATACTCTAAGGAAGTTTGCCGTATTTTGTTTGTAAGAATTTTTCGTCTCAGTGACATTATTTAAAGTGCACAGTGCCGAAATACAACGAGACTTTGAATATTCCATTATCTAAGGGACACCGGGTAAGATTTTTCGTGTACCATCTTGAGCTGATTTCTTCTAAAAATATCATAAAGCCGTGTTGCCAAAGACCGAGATTAATTACACTATTTAAATACTTTATAGTAATAAAATGTATTTGCAGCAGTTTTCGCATACTTTTGTGAAATATGGAATTCTGCACTCTAGGTAACCTTACGCAAACAGAAAAGGAATTCAATAATCACACGTGAAGAATGGCAACTGATGGAATGGAAACAGATGAAGTCATCACAGAAGGTGTTAAAGAAGGAAAGGACATTGTAGACAAAGAGATTAGCAGTATGGAATTGGAAGCTGACAACAAAAAATCTACAGCAGTGGATGATGACATGCGGAAAGAAAACGCAAAACAAGATTCATCACCAGAGATTGCAGAGAGAGTGGAAAAGCCTGGATTTGCAAGGATCAAGGCAGAGTAATATATAAATATATGTATAGCTACTTATATTTAAAAAAATCTAGTAAATGCTGGATTCCTACATATTTAATTGTTGGTATAAGTCCCTTGTCCAGTCTAGAACACACAGGAAAACCTATATAGTTATGGTTTAAGTAGAATTTTTAGCGAAATGCAAATTTAGCAATTTTTCCTAAAATGTTGATATCTTATTTTAGTGAGAAGTAATTTTAGCAATTTTTGATACAGAAAGATAATGACAATCTCCAATGTGGAATGAATTGTTAGCGATATTTAAATTTTAGGGATCAACAACCTCGCTAAAAATGCCAAAATTGAATCCTTGCTAAAATTTCTGCTTATACGGTATTCATTTTATGATAGATGAACAGGACCATATTTCAGAATTTATTTTATTGTGTCTATACTACATAGTTTCATTGCATTTATAGGTATGTTCTTGTCAACCATAAACCAGAGTTGGTAACTGAGTATATATCGCAGGAAACCAAAGATCAGCTAGAACAAGGACAAAAACGTGAGTCTTTTTATAAAATTCATAAACACATTTTTTTTGTTTAAAAAAAGTCTTTCGTATTAATAAAAAAACATTCAAGATTCATAATTACAGGGATATCCTGTCTTTATTGATCAGCTGATTCATATTGATAGTGTACAATCAGTACCAATATAAACTTATTATGCATTAGACTACATTGTATATGTATTTGAAAATTTTAAAATATTAAGTTATACTGTAGAATCTTGAAGTGGTATTTAAATTTTGCAATTTTAAAATAGTGATCTATTATTAGGTAAAGTAGAGGAAAATGAAAAACAACCCAGTAAAAAAATGAAGGTTAAGGGGCGCAATAAACAACGTCCAGTGACCCATATAAAACCTAAGGACAAGTTATGCCCCACTATATCTCAGGAAAGAGAGTGTAACTTTGGAGACAAATGCAAGTTTTCCCACGATATAAAAGCTTTCATGGAGGCCAAACCTAAGGACATTGGTCCTGACTGTTACTTGTTTGAGTTGTATGGGAAATGTCCGTATGGGATAGCATGTCGATACGGTAGCAAGCACATATCTGAGGATTACAAGAATATAATCAATGAAGAACTGTATGAGAAGAAATCTAAGGTGTGTGGTAAAGCATATCTTTCTAAAGGCAATTATCTTTGTATATACCTATTTATGTGTACAAATTTTGTTACCTAATTTACTTAAGAGTCTATTTTTGGTGTAAATGAGATGATAAACAGCATTAGATCACATGAGGGTGGGCTTGTTTGCAGAATCTGATTATATAGCAAATTGGAATAATTTTGTTTAAATACAATTCACTAGTAGCCATGTCTTAAAAATTAAACTTAGGTTCCCTCTTTAAATAAGCTAAATTCTAAAATCTCCCATGAAGGATGAGAGATCGAGTTGAAAATTATATCATGATTTTTGAATATGTTAACCTTACAAGAATTCACAGGTAAACTTTATTCAAATCACATAGAACATCCATGTAACAAATTCTTCAATTTGAGTGTCTTCAGTGACAACCAAGTCTTTTATGTTGAAGGTGAAAACTGTTCTGAACACCCTGTCTAAAGATCTCCAGGTCACTCTTTGGAAGAAGAGATATAATTTTGAAAAGGCCAATGAAATTGTCCAGCAGGTGAAAAAGAGGGCTCAGGAAAAACATGACACCTTCTCTAAACTTTGTGCTGCTAAACAGGAGAGTAAGGAGTCAAGGATAGACACTCCAGAGGAAGCATCTAGTAATACCACAGGTACGAGTGTCACATGTTATTACTTATAGTGTATGTTATATATTTTGTTCATGCAGAAAAAAATTACTCTGTATATTGGCAGTGAAATGAACACTTTAAGGAACATTTGAAAGAGTAGTTTCATTGATTTGTTTATTGAAGGAGAGGATTGAGACAAGTTCTTTGAGAGAATATTTTATTTGATGTATAAATCTTTCTATAATATAGTCAAATATAAAAACCAGAGAAATGATATACAGAAAAGAATGGATTCTGTGCTGTACCTTAGAACATGTTTGATAACTAATCGTTTGTCCAATGTCCATTATATACCATGTAGCACAAAAGAAATATTTGTTGACCTAAAGCAGTTCCCTACATGTTCATGTATATAGCCAAATATAATTTTTGCAAAATTTAGCGCATGCTATAAATATTTATATCTACTAGGTGTAAATAGATAAATTCAATATTTTATGAATTGATGGAGGTGTGACATAGATAACTTCAAGAAGTAGAACTTAAATATTCATAAAGCTGAACATTGGTTTTTCCATGTTTAATTTACCAGGATTATGTAAAATGCATCATGGTTATACAAACTTTGACAGTTTTGAACTTGACATATAATTAATGATTTTATCCACAGAGATCCGGGATGTATCGGAGGGTGTGATCAAACTTAGACCTCAGGAAACCAGAAAGGTAGGCTAAAACTGACCTCTTTTCATGTAATATGATTTACAAATCTAGAGGATTTATGCATAATTTGCTCAAATCACATATACAGTGCAGTGGTAGTCTTTTTAAATTGTTTCTTAACTGTAAAATATTGGATATCTATTCTGTCAATACACATCAGTTTGGTTGATATTTCAGATAGATTTCGGCTCAAAGAACTACTTGGCTCCTCTCACTACAGTAAGATTTAGTTGTCTAGAATTTCTTATGTTTACTTCCAACCATGATTAATTCCATTTATTCATCGATATTTATACTGTACATGTATTATGCTGCATACAGCTTCTCTACTTTTGACCATGTTTAGGTGGGTAATCTCCCTTTTCGAAGGATCTGTAAGGCATATGGAGCTGACATCACCTGTAGTGAGATGGCAATGTCCTTGAACCTTCTCCAAGGTCAGGCCTCAGAGTGGGCGTTATTGAAAAGACATGAAAGTGAGGATTTGTTTGGGGTTCAGGTAAGAGTATTATGCAAATTTTATAAATTATCTGCCTGTATGACAGTGATTATTTTTAGCTCACCTCGACGAAGTCGAGATGAGCTTATGCTATACCCCCGGCGTTGGCGTCGGCGTCCCGGTTAAAGTTTTAGGAGCAAGTCCCATTCCTAAGTTACTATAAGCCCTACCTGGACCAAACTTGCATGGATGATGCATCTAGAATGGACACTGCCACACTTGCTTCGGATGCTGGATCTAACCTAGATTTTCCAGATGAGTGACCAGGTTAAAATTTTTGGAGCAGGTCCATTCCCAAGGAACTATACGCCCCACCTGAACCAAACTTGTATGGATGATGCATCTAGGGATGGACACTACCACACTTGCTTCGGATGCTAGATCTGACCTAGATTTTCCAGATGAGTGACCAGGTTAAAGTTTTTGGAGCAGATCCATTCCCAAGTAACTATAAGCCCTACCTGGACCAAACTTGCATGGATGATGCATCTAGGGATGGACACTACCACACTTGCTTCGGATGCTGGATCTGACCTAGATTTTCCAGATGAGTGACCAGGTTAAAGTTTTTGGAGCAGGTCCATTCCCAAGTAACTATACGCCCTACCTGGACCAAACTTGCATGGATGATGCATCTAGGGATGAACACTACACACTTGCTTCGGATGCTGAATCTGACCTAGATTTTCCAGATGAGTGACCAGGTTAAAGTTTTTGGAGCAGATCCATTCCCAAGTAACTATAAGCCCTACCTGGACCAAACTTGCATGGATGATGCATCTAGGGATGGACACTACCACACTCGCTTCGGATGCTGAATCTAATCTAGATTTTCCAGATGAGTGACCAGGTTAAAGTTTTTGGAGCAGATCCATTCCCAAGTAACTATAGGCCCTACCTGAACCAAATTTGCATGGATGATGCATCTAGGGATGGACACTACCACACTTGCTTCGGATGCTGAATCTGACCTAGATTTTCCAGATGAGTGACCAGGTTAAAGTTTTTGGAGCAGATCCATTCCCAAGTAACTATACGCCCTACCTGAACCAAACTTGCATGGATGATGCATATAGGGATGGACACTACCACACTTGCTTCGGATGCTGGATCTGACCTAGATTTTTCCAGATGAGTGACCAGGTTAAAGTTTTTGGAGCAGGTCCATTCCCAAGTAACTATAAGCCCTACCTGGACCAAACTTGCATGGATGATGCATCTAGGGATGGACACTACCACACTTGCTTCGGATGCTGAATCTAACCTAGATTTTCCAGATGAGTGACCAGGTTAAAGTTTTTGGAGCAGGTCCATTCCCAAGTAACTATAGGCCCTACCTGAACCAAACTTGCATGGATGATGCATCTAGGGATGGACACTACCACACTTGCTTCGGATGCTGAATCTGACCTAGATTTTCCAGATAAGTGACCAGGTTAAAGTTTTTGGAGCAGATCCTTTCCCAAGTAACTATAAGCCCTACCTGGACCAAACTTGCATGGATGATGCATATAGGGATGGACACTACCACACTTGCTTCGGATGCTGGATCTGACCTAGATTTTCCAGATGAGTGACCAGGTTAAAGTTTTTGGAGCAGGTCCATTCCCAAGTAACTATACGCCCTACCTGGACCAAACTTGCATGGATGATGCATCTAGGGATGAACACTACACACTTGCTTCGGATGCTGAATCTGACCTAGATTTTCCAGATGAGTGACCAGGTTAAAGTTTTTTGAGCAGGTCTATTTCCAAGTAATTATAAGTCCTTCTTAAACCAAACTTGTATAGATATTGATCTTGGGATGTACACTAACTAGAAAAAATATGATGTGAGATTTGCCTTACTTATAGATAACCTTCATCGAGGTGAGCTTCGTAATCTTTGATTACCTATGTTTCTATCTGGCAGACACTGTGAAAATAGAAGTACATGTAATTGTATAATGCAATGCAGATAGTGCACATGTAAATATTGTATATAAAGCAGCACAGTGTTCAATTATTTGTTAGTTTGTATTATCTATCAGTTCTTTTAGCTTGGATCATCCCTTTTCATCGGTAGATAAGAGTTCTTATTTAGTCATAAGTGTGACTTGGTATTGGTATCAGTTCACTGTTGTGAAAATTTAGCTAACATTAGAATTTAATACCATATGGGATTAGTATTCATCACAACACATTGTTTTCATATTTAGTCACTGATCAAGTTCTGGCCTCATTTGTTATAGTACTTCATGTCCCATATGAATTATTAAATTATTACAGTCTACAATGAAGTCGTTTGGGTGTTGAAAATAGAAAATAAAACTCCATGTTTGTACAGAAACAGTGTTAAGAAGATGAACACTATTTTTGTTTAATTTCAGATTTGTGGTGGTTGGGCAGACATACTGACAAAGTGCTCACAACTAATTAATGAAAATGTAGAACTAGATTTTCTTGATCTCAACTGTGGCTGTCCAATAGATCTAGTGTACAAAAAGGTAATATTAACTGGTTTTTAAATACATTAACTCTGGGTTTTAAAACAGTAATATATTTCTGTATATTAGCTATATTATTCCACTATGTTCCAAGTGACATTAGCCTCAGAACTGTTAAATACACATGAAGATAAAATAGTTGAAAATTTATGGAAGGGGGGGGGGGGGGGAGGGTGTCTAGATACAGGTATTAGCTGCAATCATTTTGATTTAAAAGTGAATTCTTTATTAATGATAATTGAGAAGTACACGAGTAAACTGTTAATTCATTGATACATTTTCATGCTTTAGAAAGTCTGAATCATTTTAATTGGAAATGAAGGGTGTAGATGGGTCATTTTCTGTAATGAAAAAAAAAGAAAGAAACATATTTTATTTTGCTTTTACATGTATATGAATGTGTCTTTGTAGGGAGAAGGCTGTGCTTTGATTGGTCGACTTAACAAGTTTGAGCAGATTATTGCGGGAATGAGGTCAGTACTGGACGTCCCACTGACCGTTAAAATGAGGACAGGAATATTTGACAATAAGAACATTGCTCACACAGTCATACCAAAGCTTAGAGATTGGGGTGTTTCCATGGTAACAGTGAGTAGCCATGTTAAATGGTAATTTTTTAGTTGTTTCATTCCAAGAGTGACAGGTGAAAAGATCATTAATCATTTATAATCAAATTCAGCAGACTTTCATTATTTTGTTATTTTAATTCTGCAGACTTTTGCTATTGTGATTGTCTTTTTATAATTCATATCAAATGTTGCAGTTACATGGCCGGTCTCGAGAACAGAGGTACACTCGGCTAGCAGACTGGGATTACATCGACCAATGTGCAGAGGCTGGCAAACCCATGCCAGTGTTTGGTTAGTACTCTAACTCTAGGCATTGTCAGTGTTTGGGTAGTACTCTAACACAAGGCCTTGTCAGTGTTTTGTTTGTACTCTAACTCAAGGTGTGTCACTGTCTGGTTAGTACTCTAACTTAAGGCTTTGCCATTGTTTGGTTAGTACTCTAATTCAAGGCCTTGTCAGTGCTTTTCAAGTGCTCTGTGCCTACATTCAGAGACTTGCAGGGTACTAAATAATACTACCTGTATAGTCTTCTTCAGCCCTGGGTTGTACCATAGAAAGTAATAAAAAAAATGGTTAAAGTGTTGCACTGATATTGGTGTTTTGTTGTGTACTTTTTAATGTTTCAATGTGATCTTTCTCTCTGTAGGTAATGGGGATATCCTTTCCTATGAGGACCTGGATTGTCATCTCCAAAACACTAGAGTATCAGGCTGTATGGTGGCCAGGTAGGAATACAGAATAATAAAAAGTAGTCAGGAGTTGTGCTTGCTTTATTTCAAAGATGCTGTTTCAAAATTATTTGAAAATTGATTAAGCTCTGCAAAGTTTCAGCCAGATAAAAGATAAATGTAACAATACCAAATGCTTTTCTGATATATTATATTATTCATGTATGTAGAGTACATGTACTTGTATATCATGTTTATCTTAAGAGGTGCTTTGATCAAACCTTGGATCTTCACCGAGCTGAAAGAAAGAAGGCACTGGGATATTTCCTCCTCGGAGAGATTTGACATGCTGAAGCGCTTTGTTAATAATGGACTGGAACATTGGGGGAGTGATACTCAGGGGGTGGAGACTACCAGGCGGTTCCTCCTGGAGTGGGTCTCATTTTTGTACAGGTAAAAAAAAATCTCACCTTTTCTTTTTCCTGGATAATGACATATTAGAACAGTCAAACCTTGTTATCATATTCTCGATGGGGCCAAGAAAAAGCTTCAAGATATTGGAGATTTTGCAATATTGAGATTAAGATACATAAAGAAAAAAGTGGTTGAGACTTTGAGCTCACTTTGACATACTGTAGCCATGATATTTGAGATACTGATGTTAGAGATACTGAAGTTCAACTGTATCTTGCAGTAGATCAAACAACTCGGAAATTGTTAAACACATGTACTTTATCTCAACATCTGATATCAAATATTAAATGGGTATTGTTGAAGATTCTCCAAAAAACAGCTCCCTAACTTTGAAATGTCTCCACGTCTTGTACCTGTGAATAAGGAAAAAAAATTGAAAGAGATTTCTTCTGCAAAAACAGTAAGTTCGTTAGGCATCTGGAGTGTCCTTTGTTGCTTTCAGGTACATACCAGTGGGCCTCCTGGAACAGATGCCACAGAAGATCAATGAAAGACCTCCATATTATATAGGTCGGAATGACCTTGAGACTCTGATGTCTAGTCCAAACTGTGGAGACTGGGTCAAACTCAGGTACAAACTCAGTTCCAATTCTAGATTTATATATATACTCAAGCTGAAGAAGATTTTGATGACTACTAGAAATGTTCTAAAAAATAACTTTTTTCCAAATTCACTTTCATTTGCTTTGGTTTTTTGCATGTCATGGTGCCAGAGGAGACTTATTTTCTGAATTCAGGACTGATATTAACATAGAATTGTTCTACTATAGTGAAAATATTAACACAGGAATGTTCTGTTACAGTGAGATGCTGCTGGGCCCAGTTCCTGAGGGTTTCTCCTTCCTCCCAAAACACAAGGCCAATGCATACAAGTGAAAATGGGGATTTCCTGGTGTCAGTATACATGTACTTAATAAACAGTTTCAAAACTTTTAGAATTTTAATAAAATATTTCATATAGAAGTATAGAGGATGGATATTAAAGATAAAAAGGACTGCGAACAACAGCAATGGATTGCTATGTACCTTGTAGTAAATTTTCAAATGTCATCCTATTCCAAAGACTTTTAAGCTCACCTCAACGAAGCTGGGGGGAGCTTATGGGATACCCTCGGCATAGCCGTCGTTGTCAGTGTCCCAGGTTAAAGTTTTTGGTGCAGTTTTCTTTTTAAGTACTTCAATGCCCTACATTAATAAGAGATGAGTAGAAGATGCTTCTATTGTGTTTCATTGTACCAGTCAAGGTTCAGATGCTGCAATTTCAACTAAGGAATGACCAGGTTATTTTTTTAGAGCAGGTTAAAGTTTTTGGTGCAAGTCTCATTTCCAAGTAGTTGTAAGCCCTATGTTGACCAAACTTGCATGGACGATACATCTAAGGATGCACACTACCAAGCTTGCATTGGATTCTGGATCAGACCTACATATTCCGGATGAGTGATTACATAAGCTCCCCCAACTTTGTTGAGGTGAGCTAAAAAGTACTTTAATAGCAAAATTGCTAACATTTTGAAAGTATGTTTGTGTAAAATGTAGGCAGGAATCAAGAATTAGTGTGCATAGTTCTTGCAAGTATTTGCCTTAATGCTTTTTATACTGGTAAAACAGATTTCAGTTTTAGAATTTCAACAATCAATAAGTACATGTACCTAATTATCGGAATGCAATCAAAAATACACATGAAGACACAGTTTTGACACAGTGGTACCGTAAATAGTATTGTAATTTTGTTTATATCGGTATTAAAACTTCAATATTCTTCCATGCTCACGCTCTCAGTTACTTGAGGCTTTTTGTTGATGCCCTTTATCTCAAATGATGTTGAAATGCTTTTCATGGAGGTTTATTTAATTTTGTCGATGTAGCAAGTTTCTGGAGTAATTACAATACTGGCGATGATGATATCAAACCTTTTATTTTAATGTCACACCAATAAATGAAAACAAATTCTGCTTAAGGTTTCTTTTTTCCATTTAAATATACATGTATAATTGTAAAAAACTATTTAATATTATTGAACTTTTCACATTTTCATAATCTTCACAGGGATCACTTGGCTATATAATTTGAATACTAATTGAGCCTTAAAAATACTTGGGGAAAAAACAAGATCACATTTTTAAATATATAATTACACACCCATAGTAAAAGCATGACATAGGCATGTTGATGAAAAGAAATGTTCAATTTCATGATATTAGCATTGTAAACTATAAAAAAGATATATATATATATATATATATATATATATATATATATATATATATATATATATATATATATATATCCAAAAAAATGAAAAGAAATATCACAGTGTCCGGTAATTAATATGAAAATTAAAAATAACAAGGCAACAATGTTAGTAAAACGTAAGCGCTTTCATTATACTTCTTCAGACGTTTTACAATTCAAAACAATTGTTTTGAATTGTAAAACGTCTGAAGAAGTATAATGAAAGCGCTTACGTTTTACTAACATTGTTGCCTTGTTATTTTTAATTTTCATATATATATATATATATATATATATATATATATATATATATATATATATATATATATAAAGCACAATTTACAACAACTCAAACCCGGGCTGGGGCGGAAGTGGGTATCCTTATAAAAGTGAATATCTTTGTGCTTTCTATATATATATATATATATATATATATATATATATATATATATATATATATATATATATATATATATATATATATATATATATAAAAGATGCTCTCAATGTTCCCTATTTGGTGTAGGAATATGAACGTTTCTGATGTTCAAGCTCTGGGTTCCAGCAGTAGTTTGACTCCATTTTCTGGCTTTATTAATGCTGCTTTGGATATTGTCAGAGGAATCTGAAAAATGATTATTAGCAGAATTGAATTTGACTTATTTGATAAAATTGGTTCATTAGAAAAGGTTTTAGAGAATATGTACACTTTATATATATACACTGGAAATGTAAATGCAAAATGTACACCATCGTCTCAAGCCACGGTCCGGAGTCCGCATACAGCTCTCTTCTACAGAATGGGAGTGGATTGTATATTTTGGCCGTGGTTTGCGACGATGAATGTACATGTACACAAGTTGCATAGAAAATTTCCATCCACCCAATTTCCATCCACAAAAAATGTTTCCGACAAAGGAAAAAACTTCCACTGAATGCATCAATTTTAGTTTGCATTGCAAGCAGAGACATATTATACATATCTCTGATGCAAGACAATATTAAACAATGTTGTAAATTTTCGTAGTTGGACTTAAGTCCATATTCATGGTAGGCCATTGTATATAAAGTCTCTACCTCTGTTTCCGCACAAGTTTTGAATCTGTAGTGTTGAAGTATGTAGGTCATTGCAAACTTCATCTCCACCTGGGCGAGGCGCATGCCTATGCAGCTGCGTGGTCCATGTCCAAACGGGAGATAGGCATAAGGGTGTCTCTTAGCTTTGTTTTCCGGAGTAAACCTAGAAAAAAAATTGTAAATTAAATTCATAATTGAAAAATTTGAATGTATTTATGCAGAAACACGAAAAACTACTTCAAAGCATTTACCATCAGTGTATTAAGTTGCTAAGTTGGGATAAAAATTATTTGATTTGGTAGAACTAGAGTACAATTGAGCAAGCTCACAAAATTAAACCTCCCGCTGCAAATTTTTTAAGTGCCCAAGTACATTTGTCATTTACCTTGAACTTGCCAAAATGACCTTGTTTCATGAAAATGACACACCCTCTGGTCATAAGTAAACTTTGGGTGAAGTATGAACTTGCAGATGCTTCTCCATTAGAACACTATGACCGAAGATGAATTTTACGCTCTGTTTGAGCTTGCCAAATTGATGCAAGGTAAAAATTGTGGAATACCTTAAGCTTACAGGTAATCATTGAAGTTTTTCTGCAACTAAGCTTGCCCTAATGAACTTGGATAAGATCATGATGCAACCTTAGGTCATAAGCAATCTTTGTCTTAATTATCAACTTCCATTGTTTCTCTGTTATAGAGTTATAGTCCTGGCATGAGTTATACACTTTTTCTGCCAGTGACTTTGAACTTGTCGTTATGACCTTGACCCAACGTCAAACACATCCTTAAGTTATAAGCAACCTTTGTGTCAAGTAGGATTGTAGGGATAGATGGACAACAAGATTCTTATTTACCCTTCAAACTTTATTTTGCAGAGGTATTGGAATATTTCAAGGTCGTATGCAAAATAAAATTCATTCAAGGGTATAATTTTCGACTTTTTAATTCGATTAATAACCTTTTAAATTTGCTGATACCAAAAAGAATTGTTGTCATATATTTGAATTTTTACAATTCATGAAGGACATAAATTTGCGATTCTCTTCATACCTCGAGAACAACGAAATCAACCGCCCACGAAAATAAGTGATTTCACAATATCAAATGACTTTTGTATAGACCTGTCCCCTCACCTGTGTGTGTGTGTGTGTGTGTGTGTGTGTGTGAGGGAGGGTGTGTGTGTATGTGTGTTTGAGAGGGTGTGTGTGTGTGTGTTATGTCAAATAATGTATATCACATTCCACTTTGTGTTTCTTACAGACAACTATAATCAATTTCTTGCATTTATATGCAGGAAATATGTGGAGATGCATATGAAGTGTAGAACTGGTGTAAAGTAAATAAATGTCACAATGATAAAATAATTGAAATAAAGGAATATACGAGTACTAGGTAGTTAAAAAATATTTATTAAAATTCATGTTTTATTTACTTAATTACACAATGAATAATAAAAAAACAGCAAATCATGGTTTTAGCTACTATAAACTAATATAACTTTAAAAATATTTCTGGCATCACACATAGTGCATTACATAAACATATTTTGTTTTCTTTTTCTCCAGTCCATTTAATCCTCCCCCCAATGTTACCCCAAAGAATATTATTTACAAAAAAGTAATTGTAATCGCCCCTCATCCCATTTTCTCACAAAATTTCCTTTGATTTCATTGCTCTATGAAATAAATATTGAAGAATACCCTCTCTCTAACTCTGAGTATTGTGTATTTTTATGCCATGTCTCTTCTAAACATTTACGACCTATATGTATCGATATAAGCATGGCCGTAGAAACCGGGGGAGGCCGTGCCCCCCCCCCCCCCCCATCATTTTGCCGATATATTGAATACTATACAAAACATACGTACTATATGCTTGTGCGCCCTCAATTAAAACGTCCGGTGACTCTTTTTTTTTTGTTTTGTTTTGTTTTGTTTTTTTGCTTGTCAAGGAATTTTTTGAAGTTTTTGTAGTACCCCCAAACTGAAAATATTTGGTAGTCCCCCCCCCCCGCCCCCCAAGTGATAATGCTTCCTACGGGCCTGATAAGTAATGATGAATCTATACCTGGCAGCTGAGGGGTACAGTCTCAGTGTCTCACAGAACACTCTGTCCAGGTAGTCCAGTTTCTGTACGTTGTCATAATTAGGGCACTCCTGTCAACGTCCAGATACAGGTAAATAATCGCATGATGTTAAAATAATGTTATTGTAATAACGTAATAAATATACAGACCAAATAATTGGACATAAAGAAAACCAAAAAAATTTAAATAAAAAACACTTCTACTAAATGTTATAATACAATCAAACCTCGTTATCTCGACCTCTTTGGAACCGAGAAAAAACATTGAGACATCCTCGGAGTTGAGATGTTAAAATACTTTAAAAATAAGATTGGGACTTCCAAATCACTTCAACATATCCATGGCATTTGAGATACTGAAGTTAAACTGTAGTATGCATACAATGAGGTCATTAATTTATTTTAGTTCACATGAGTTGGTATAAATAAATAGAATCACAATCAAATGCTATTCCTTCATAACTAATGTAATGAAAAATTAAGATTAAGAATATTGAGCAAACCTTCCCAAGAACGGTGTCGATCTCGTCAATCAGTTTTTCTTGACATTCCGGGTTTGTAGCGAGATTATACGAGGCAAAAGTGAGAGCATTAGAGGTGGTGTGATACCCGACCAACATGAAAAGAATGGAATTTCCCAGAACTTCCTCCATCGATAATCCTGGAAATTTATTTGATAAATAAATAGGTATATAGATGTTATATTGATCGCAACAACTTATCGACCTTTTCAACTTTTCAATTTTATGTACCTTGTCGAAAACCCATGGTCAATCTGACTATGTTTTATTCAATAATCTTTTTTTCCCTTAATTTTTGATTTTTTAAAAACACTCTCTTACTCCATGCAGAGCGCGGAGGGGGGAGGGGGGTGCGGGGGGGGGTCTGAGTATAGTGTCCTTTTTTGTTGCTGCAAGATTGAGCACTGACAAATTCCAGGATTTGAAAAAAGTACCAAAGAGTAAGAAAAGGGTCCACTGCGCCACGCGGGCGACCCCCTACTTTTAAAACTGTTGCTATGGGCCTGTTGTAATCACTATGTTAATCCTAAACAATTTGTTCTTTTCATTTATATCATTTAAATAAAATATGTATCATTGGACTAAAGTATTATTGCAATGGACTGTAACTGCACAGCTGTATAACTGAATGGTACAGAAAATTCGGAAGAGATAGCCTACCCCTTAAAAAATGAAGGGGTGATTTTAAGTATATTGAATCTTATTAAGGAATATCCGTCCGAATTTTCTGTCCCAGAGAGTAGTAGCTCTGCAGGTAAATGAGCCGGTTCTGTTAATTGCATACCTCTTGACTTCCATTTGTCAGGGTTTTGGTAATATTGTTTCACTTCATTATCGTTGACGTCAGTATCATGGTGCGCATTCAACATCATCTGCAGCAGGTCTTTGCGTTTCTACCAAGATAAAGACAGAATTTTTATGCTGTGATATACTATATAGTAGTTATTACGCATGTTTTGCATCCTTGAGGATATCCGATCCTCAGCCAGGAAGAATAACTCTTAAAATTATTATTTAATTTTAAAAAGTCTCAACATGAAGCTTGAATTGAAAAATATTCATGGAATAATTTTCATTTTGTGTATCTTAATACGATTCAAGGTTCTTTGAAGTCTTAGAAACGGTCTTGTACAAAATGAAATTTATATCCTACAAAAGTCAAAAATCAATATTACAGTTTAAGATTTCTCTTCTTGAGCCTAGCCTTAGATACCAATGCTTATTAGCATTATATGAAATAAAAGTGATATTTGATGTCTTGCAATGATAACACAAGCTATTGTACACTGTGTATTATATAATAATTGAAGGAAATAGAAGATGTTGAATACCGAATAAGTATAAAACCATGCAAAGAATCTATCTCTAAATGCTTGGATACCTATTGTTTTTTAACCTAAAATATATTTGTTGATCAATTTCTAATTGGAAAATGCATAGTTGATGTTTCTATTTGTATATATGAGATTTGAAAATTTTCCCTATATAAAATGATTAACTTGATTAACTTTGAACAAATACTGTGGGTAAATATACATTACTTCGTGAATTCAGAGATATTTTTGTGAGTATCTTCTATTACTAAACCGCTGATTTTATGAACCTGAGGATAGGAATACCTTAAAGTTCATTGACCACCTGACAAAGAGAGATAACTCTCACAGGGATTAATGATTATTGTTCTTCTTAAGCTGTCAAGTTAAAAGGCGATATCTGTCAAATGTTGCACCGCAAGGTATGTTGAAACAGTTTGCATTTCAATTATTATTTAGAGTTCTTATCATCATTCAAGCAAATTTTTACACAGGAGGACAGTGGGGTGATGAACTTTAACAATAAAAGAAGCAATAAGGCTCGTTTAAAAATATTGAGTGCGTTATAAATGTTACGTGTACCTCTTCATCATCTTTTCGGAGACCAATGGCTTGGTTGGTAACATTTCTGAAGAAAGCCATAGGTTCAATTCGGTTCAAAGGAGATTTTCCAAACCAGTCCAACACAGCATTAAATTTTGGAAACATTACTGAAAAATAAGTCAAAGTCATTCAAATACATGAAATTTAGAGAATTCCAAATAATTTGATGTAAATAATCATATTGTATAGATGTTTCGTGAGTTTTATTTTTATTTTTATTTTATTCGCTTTTATTGAATAATATCCTTGTATTGAAATGATAGTATATCCTGCTTACAAATTAATAACAACAGTAGGCCGAATGTAACATTGAAGAATGGTTTGGCATGTCTGACGAAGTCACTCTCGGGATTTTTCTGCGAATCGATGTCGACACCAAATCCAGTGGACGCTATAACATCTATTGTGTAAGCACCGAATACCCTTCAGAAATAAAACTCGATGAAATGTATGTTGCTATAATGAATATATATTCGACATATATATACACTTAAGTCTTCAAATCAGTACATTTTATCGAATCTTAGAGAAGTTTGGTCTTTGTTTATAAAACATTATTGCAGGTAATGAGTGTAAATTTTGTTTTTAGCTCACCTGAGCTGAAAACTCAAGTGAGGTTTTCTGATCACATTTTGTCCGTCGTCCGTCTGTCTGTCCGTCCGTCTAGCTGTCTGTCCGTCTGTAAACTTTTCACATTTTCGACTTCTTCTCCAGAACCACTGGGCCAATTTCAACCAAACTTGCCACAAAGCATCCTTGGATAAAGGGGATTTAAGATTGTTCAAATGAAGGGCCACGCCCTCTTTCAATGGTAGATAATTAAGAATTCGTGAAAATTTAGTGGTATCCTTTAAAAAACTTCTTCTCAAGAACCACTGGGCTGAAAAGGTTGAAACTTGTATGAAACCTTTATTACATAGTGTAGATTCAAGTTTATTCAAATCATGACCCCCAGGGATAGGGTGCGGCCACAATGGGGGATCAAAGTTTTACATAGGAATATATATTAAAAAATCTTTAAAAATCTTCTTCTCAAGAACAACACACCACAATTAGTCATATTGATGTGGAATCATCTTCAGGTAGTGTAGATTCAAGTTTGTTCAAATCATGATCCCCAGGGGTAGGGTGGGGCCACAATGGGGGATCAAAGTTTTACATAGGAATATATAGTAAAAAATCTTTAAAAATCTTCTTCTCAAGAACAACACAGCCACAATTAGTCATATTGATGTGGAATCATCCTAAGGAAGTGTAGATTCAAATTTATTCAAATCATTACCCCCAAGGGTAGGGTGCGGCCACAATGAGGGATCAAAGTTTTACATAGGAATATGTAGTAAAAAATCTTTAAAAATCTTCTTCTCAAGAACAACACAGCCACAATTAGTCATATTGATGTGGAATCATCTTCAGGTAGTGTAGATTCAAGTTTGTTCAAATCATGACCCCCAGGGGTAGGGTGGGGCCACAATGGGGATCAAAGTTTTACATAGGAATGTATAGGAAAAATGTTTAAAAATCTTCTTCTCAAGAACAACACAGCCACAATTAGTCATATTGATAATGAATCATCCTCGGGTAGTGTAGATTCAAATTTGTTCAAATCCTGACTCCCGGGGGTAGGGTGGGGCCACAATGGGGGATCAAAGTTTTACATAGGAATATATAGAAAAAAATCTTTAAAAATCTTCTTCTCAAGAACAACAAAGCCATGATTAGTCATATTGATATTGAAGCATCCTCAGGTAGTGTAGATTCAAGTTTGTTCAAATCATGAACCCCCCTCCCCCCGGCCGGGTAGGGTGGCAGACATCTTAATAGTTCCGTTTTCAAGAACAGCAAAGCCATGCATGATTAGTTATATGAATATAGAAGCATCCTCAGAAAGTTTAGATTCAATATCATTCAAAACATGGCACCTGGGGGTAGGGTATGCCTAAAACAGGCGATCAAAGCTTTACATATGAATATATAGGAGAAGAAATCTGCTGATGAAGAACAGCAGGGCCATATTGACTCAGGTGAGCGTTGTGGCCCATGGGCCTCTTGTTATGTTAGCTGCTTAATGTACTCACTCATTGAACTCTATTGGTTTTCCAGTTTTGACTTTATTATTGAGATTCTCCAGTAGCTGTTCGTACTTTGCTTTAAATAATGGTTCCATCTACAATTGAAATTCGGAATCTTTATCTACTTTAATTTTCCCCCATGAAAATATATTAATAACAAGATTATTAACTTGTAATCATGCTTTTAATCAAATGTAATTAACACTTATGATTGAAAGGAGCTAGAGTCAAAAGAGCTTGAGAAATTAATCTACACCCCTGCATGTTGCATAGTTTTTCAAATTGGTAGCGGGTCTTGAAGAGCTAAAAAAAACTTTTAAAAATAGAGTAGGGAGTGTTTACCTTTAGGAATGCTTCATAAATAATTTCTAGAAAGGTATATAAATGCAACCACTAGTGAAATTATTATCTCAATAGTGGTTGAGAATCCATTTCAAAACCAAACAATTGTTTGCAACCACTATTAAAATAATTATTTCAATAGTGGTTGAGAATGCATTTCAAAACCAAAAACAGTTTGCAACCATTATTGAAATAATGTTCAATACTGAAATGATTATTTCAACAGTGGTTGAGAATGCATTTCAAAACCAAAAAGACTTTGCAACCATTATTGAAATAATGTTCACTACTGAATGATTATTTCAAAACCACCCCATTCATTGGGAAATAGCATATGGAAAATTTCTAATAAAATGTACTTAGCTGCTGTAAACCTCTATGGTTGAGAATGCATTGTTACAACGCACTTTGAAAAATTACGCACTTTGAAATTTTTTTTTCAAAGTGCGTTAATTTTGGGACCACGTTAACGCACTTTGAAAAAAAAATTCTTTTCAAAGTGCGTTCATATCGACCATATTAACGCACTTTGAAAAAAATGTGCACGGCTTGGTCAATATTGTTGCAAATTTTAGGTATGATAAATAATTATTTGAACCTGGTTGGATACCTTTTCGTTGATGACGTCAGGATCTGAGATACAGACTTTTACAGATTTTTAAGAGTTGTCTTGTTTCCAAAGGTTCTCGTAACTGTTATAAAAGGGAAATGGGTCTTAGAAATAATGGAGGAATGATTGTTTAATAGCAGAGTTTCTTTTCTTTTTTAAATTTTATCTAGTCTCTAATAAGTTCGGTAGATGTAGGTGTCGACAAGTGGCTTAAAGCATCGCATTTTTCTTAGGAAAAAGGGAGCAATTATAATTTTTCCATACCATGAAAATTCTCTCTCTCTCTCCCTCTCTCTCTCATCTATTTTTCTATCATATTCATCTATCTATCTATTGTGAACATATATGAAACAATGGTTGACTCATTTATGTGATAGTAAGAAAATAAACTTTAGCCACATTACTCACTCGACTGAAATTTTTACCTTGTTCACTAATAACTTTTTCTCAAAAAAGTTATGCAGTCAGATTACTTCTAAATCTGTAATTTAATATCATAAAAACGCTAGACATGTCAAATAGCATGTTTTAATTACCATATAAATGCATTTTTTCTGAGGAATCATTGTGGATACATTTTGAATAAAGGTTATGCAGCTCTCTTCTTTAATATAATAGGGTGGCTAGGGTGCGTAATTTTTTTTTTTTTCAGGAAAGCTTATCTCAATTTTTTCATCTATTTTACGCTAACTCAAATTTTTTGAGAGAAATAATATCAATGTCATACCAGTTATCTAAATACATATATCTGTGTTGGAAAGATACAGAGTTGGGCTGAGGGACTTTCTACCTGTCTTCTCCTTGTTCTCGATGAGGGTGGATCGTTTCATCAGTTTTTCGGAAGAAATACAAGATACAAGATTTACAAGATACAAGATTTATTAGTCCAATTTGAGCCCCCGGAGGAGCAAAAAAGATTTACAAACATGAAACAAAGAAGGAGGAAGATCCAAATGATAGAACAAACATGATCTTAAATATAATGAGCAGTGCTTAATTGTATAATCATTGATAAATGCATCTACAAGAGATGTATACGAGTATACATATTGTAATATAATAATAACATATAGTCAAGTAGCTGGAAAGATACATATATGCATATCAAAGAACAGAAGAGATGATATATTGCCATTCCTACATGTATATACATCCCCAAATATATTTAAATTTTTCAGTTAAGGTAGATTATCAAGGAATCTAGCAAGAGATCTTAGAATCTCAGGGTCTTCATTAGTCATGAGCCAAAGAAATTGATTATCATATGATAGGGACTGAAAATTTTTACATTTATTATTACAAATATTATAACAAATCAGTGCTGTCTATTATTAAAATCTAAGTCCAGAATTTTTGTTTTATGTGTATTTTTTCAAAGTGCGTTAAGTGTCTCCATGGTAAAAATGTTGATGTACACTTTTAACGCACTTTGAAAAATATTTTCAAAGTGCGTTGATTTTGTCCAAAAGTTAACGCACTTTGAAAATTTTTTTCAAAGTGCGTTGATTTGTCCCAATTTTAACGCACTTTGAAATTTTTTTCAAAGTGCGTATTTTTTCAAAGTGCGTTGCCACAATGCATTTTAAAACCAAACAATTGTTTGCAACCACTGTTGAGATAACGTTCACTATTGTATTATACGTTATGTATTATATGTTATTTCATTAGTGGCCAAGAATACATTTCAAACCTAAAAACCACGTTGAAAACACTATAAAATATCGTTTACTATTGAAATTTCAGTAGTGGATGTTATTTCAGTAGAAGCTGCAATGTAGTATTGCTTTTGAAATGCATTCTCACCCACTATTGAAACAATTCTTTCAATAATGGTTGTTATTTTCAAGCTGGATGCAATGTAGTATTGTTTTTTTTTTTAAAGACTTCCTCGACCACTTTTGAATAGTTATTTTAATAGTAGTTCCTGTTTCAATAGTGGTTGCAATGAGGTGTTTTTGTAATGAACTCTCAACCACCATTGAATAGCTATTTCAATAGTAATGGTTATTTCAATAGTGGTCACAATGTGATACCGGTAGTTCTTGAGAAGTTCTCTCAACTAATATTGAAATAATTACATTTTATTTCAAAAGTGGTCGTTATTTCAATAGTGGTTACAATGTGGTGTTGTTTTTTGAAGTGCACTTTCAAGCACTATTTAAATGATTATTTCAGTAGTTATTGTTATATCAATAGAGTTTGAGAGAGAGAGAGAGTATAGCCTTTCCTTGACCATTTGTGTCCCAATTAAATATGGATAAATTGTTTTCAATTCATGTATGTACTCTTCCTATGTATCTTTCCTTTTAGATTCAGGGAAAAATGAGTATTTAAATATATACAGACGACTTACCATTCTCATTTTGCCTGAGGAAAAGGTTGGAAGAAGAGTGTTCCGAAGAAATCGCCAGTGGTCATTGTCCGTACCTAGCAAGCCGTGCTTCATCTCATTTGTTGGCCTAAACGTCTTCTTTTGAAAGGAAAAAAGTATTCTGTTCAGATGATTTTTTAGATAGAGGTAAGATATCACTAGTACTTGAAAGGTACTTAACAATGTTTTTGTACAAGTTCTAGCAAGAAAAGCCTTTCAGAGAGACTGAACAACAACAGAATTGAAACACATTTTGACTTAATATTATTTTAAGGTACCTTGACCCTCTGATAAGGGAGATAACTCTCACTGGAATAAATGACTGTTATTCCTTAAAGTTATAAAATTGTCAAGTTAAAAGGCAATTTCTGTCAAAATTTTGTACCACAATGTATAATGAAATTATATGCATTTTATAATGATTTCATTCGTAATCATTATACTAATGAAGAGAATGAGGAGAGTGGTGTTGAACCTTAAATGACAGTCAAGATTTGTACTATGACTGGATCTTGTATCAAATTAATAATTAACATGGCTTTTGGTATATGATAAAGTTGTCTCAGCGGATACAAAGCGGGTACATAGTACTGGACTATCATAAGTAGATTTTATATCGTTAGTGGGTACTACAGCACTTGTTTTACACCCTCCCATGTCAGAAATAGTTACCCACTTTTAACAGGAAACAGACAAAGAAACCGAATATACACTTTTAACATAAAACATATACGGTGGAATCAATTAGTACATCTTTAGAGACTGCCTAATATATACATATGAAATCTATTCACTTACTGGTCTATTGGGAGTTCTCGAGAAGTCCTTAACCATTATTTCTTTAATTGTGTCAGGATTTGACACCAGAAGCAGGGGTGAGTGTCCCATGTATACTCTAAAAGAAATTAGCTTTTTACATGAACTATATTTTTAGAATTAAATTGTTTAAAGATCAGCATCAAGGAAAGATTGATTGATTGATTGTATGTTGTTTTACGTCCCATTTGAGAATATTTCACTCACATAGAGACGTCACCATAAACCGGTGAAGGGCTTCACTCGGCACTTACGGCCATTGAGCAGTGAGGGATCTTTATCGTGCCAACGCCTGCCGTGACACAGGTCCTCTGTTTTTAAGGTCTCACCTGAAGGACCCGTAACTTTCACTTCAAAGTGCCGAGCGCATGGCGAAGGAACAGTTGCTACCCATTTTTTATCGACTTAGGTCAGTCGCGGCCGAGATTCGAACTCACGAAGCGAGTGCTCTACCGACTGAGCTACCGTGAACAGTGCATCAAAGAAAGACATAAAAATTGTCCACCCATAATTATGCATTTAAGTGTACATTGCTTTTATAGCGTTTCAATTTTTACAAAGTCATATATACACATACGTATGCATTATTGAAACACCACAAAAAGTTTTTGATCAAGAGCTAACAGACAACAAATCAAAAACTAATATCCGATAGTATGGGATTTTTCAAAAAGAAATATGATCACAAGATAATTTTTTTTTTTTGGGGGGGGGGGGGCAACTTTCCCTTCTTTAGAGAGAGAGAGTACTCACCCGACCACACTGCCGTACGTCTTAACCATCTCCTGGTCTGTGACTGCCAAACCCTGAAAATTAAGATTAAATTAAGTGGCAAGTTTCTCATATCAAATTTTGTAAATTGTATGATGGAAGTCTTCGTTTAACAAAGACATCATGTAAGACAGCCACAACAATTTGGTGACATACTCAGATATGAATAAAAATGTAGTGTTTGTGCACGTGATTGACAATTTAAATTTGCAGAATTTATCATTACTATATGAAAGTATAATTTAACATGCAAAAAATTAGGTAATCAATTCAATTTATTCTCACATTGTGTAAAACAACAGAAAGAAAATGCAAGAACGATATCTGTGTAATAAAATTTTCAAATATAAAAGAGAAATCACAAATTTTAGAAATTTTGAAAATTATGCAAGACTACCGGTAATAAGTGCATTTAGTGCTCAACCGACTATGTGTTAGATCATCTGAGACCTAAAGGCTCCAGTGAGCTTTTCCGATCGAAGACCATCGTGTGTCGTCTGTAAAATTAAATTCGCCTCTGCAGAACCGTTGGACCAGTTTCAACCAAGCTTAAAAATTGTTCAAATCAATCGGCAATCCAGGAAAGATAATCGAAAAATAGAACAAATATGGTAGGATCATTTAAAAATTTGATGGAGAAGAACCAAAGGACAAAAAAGACGAAAGTTATATAAAAGCATTCTGATAAAGCGTTAATTAAAATTTGCTAAATCATGACACCCAGGACAAGGTTGGGCCACAAAGGGGCCAATTTTACCAAAGAAAAATCATTTAAAGATCACAAATGGTTATATAAACGCGCAAGTATTCACATCATGATCTGGATGTTGCCACAATAGGAGACCCAATTTTACATGTGATTTTAAGGTAAAATATCTTTAAAACCTTTCTTCTCTATAGCAGAAGTGCAATAATTAGTTACATTAACAAGCATCCTTAGATGATGCAATAATTCAGCCAATGTACAATTAATCTAAGGTACACATGTATGCCAGAAAGAGGTCACTCCTTGGACTCTTAGGGTGAGAAAGCAAAAAGGTTGACAACATAAGGAAATGGAGCGAGAGTGACAGTGCAAAAGATAGGAACCATTCAAAGATTATCCCCCTCAAAAAAGCTTAGGTTGCCTTTCCTTCGCAACTTCCCTTTCTCACTCCCTTGCGATGTTCCAACTGAATAAGTTGGGACTGTTACAACATTTTATTTGCATTTCATGGCAAATAAATCTTACCTTTCGGTTATATTTGAGAGCCACGCCGAAAAACGGGGTGGGGGAAGGACCAGGAATTCCATACTGTTTAAATAAACTGTGCTTCCATCGGGAGTATCTATAATTAAAGAACAATTATGTCACTAATTTTATCTAGCTGCATTACTTACCTCGAATACTGTCAATCTTGTAAATTTTGAGACCTTAAACAATATACATTTATTGACTGGGTTCGAAGGTAATATGCTAGTAGTGGGACCCGGAGACAAAGCTGTTTGCCTGAGGCCTATAGGCGAAGGCAAAATTGGAAAAGCGCATTCTGTCCGAATACCCAGTCAATGCATGTTATGATATACAATTTACGAAACTGTTGAAAAACACCTAAGACAAATTAGACCTAGATATTGCTAACTGATTTATTTGTGTCGGATGATACCGCCTAAGCTGGGAACCAACAAATACAAAATGTGACGCAAGAACGTCATAAAGGTATATTAACCGACCGGTCGAACTTCTAACCGACCGGTCCAACATCATATTTATTTATTTAGTATTTTTTATTAAAACAAGGGATTATCATTTTGATGAAGGCTTAATTTTCCGAAATTGAGATTAATATTCCATAGAGGAGTATGAGAAAATGTCTAATTTCTAATATTTGATTCATGAACTTTTACGATATGTGATAATATCTTAACAAAGTTACTAGCTGATTCAGAGGTACTTCTACATACTCTACATAATTTTTAAGATCTATGATTCATATACTCAATTCTCCTTCTCTTTTAACATGCTATAGCGAAATATACTGTCAGCCTTTTGATAGTTTATCCCTATAAAAGTATGCAATCCATTATTGAAAAATTGTCGAAGACAAAACCCAAGTTCTTATTGCCCCTGGAAGGACTTTCACCAGTAGGCCCAGGGGTGGTCAACGGCACCAAATTATGTAATAGGAAAGGAGAAAATGTATGGCTGGACCAGGAATCAAACACAGGACCCCTGCATCTAACTATTTAATTTTAATACTATGTCTGCAGGGATGTTCGTGTTCAATATTTATATTCTCGAGGTCAAATGTTGACTGCTTACCTAGGCTGCATATTTTCAATCAAAAGCTAAAGTGAGTTTTTCTGATCGGAGAGTGTCTGCCATCTGTCTGTCATGCGTCAGCTAATGTCTGTAAGCTTTTCACATTTTCGACTTCTTCTCAAGAATCACTGGACCAATTTCAACCAAACATGCCACAAAGCATCCTTGGGTAAAGGGAAGTAACCTTTGTCTCCAGGAAGTGCCACGTCCTCTTCCGAGGGGAGATAATTTAATATTCGTGAAAATTTGGTGGCATTTAAAAAAAAATCTGAAGAAGAACCACAGGGACAGAACAGATGAAACTTCTCTGAAAGCTTCACTATATACTGTAGTTTTAAATTTGTTCAAATCATGACCCCTAGGGGTAGGATGGAGCTACAATGGGGGCAAATTTATACATAGGAATGTATAGGAAAAATCTTTTAAAAATCTTCTTCTCAAGAACAGCAAAGTCATGATTAATCATATTAATACAGAATCATTCTCAGATAGTGTAAATTAAAGATTGTTTAAATCATGACCCCTGGGGGTAGGGTGCCACAACAGAGGATCAAAGTTTTACATAGGAATATGAAGAAATATCTTAAAAAAATTTCTTCTCAAGAATAGCAAAGCCGTAATTAGTCATATTTAGACTGAATCACTCTTTGGTACATATAGTTTAGATTCAAGATTGTTCAAATCATGACCCCGGGGGTAGGATGGGGCCATAATGTGAGAACAAAGTTATACATACATATGTAGGTATATATAGGGAAAAATATCTGCTGATGAAGAACAGAAGGACCATATAGTAACTCAGGTTAGTGTTGTGGCGCAGGCCTCATGCTCCGATATTTCGCATATTACCAGCCCAAAGTGTTTATATTATGCTGAGGAAATTTTGATTGTAAAAAATATATTACCAATCAAAGCACATTTAAGTACTAAAAATTGAACCCACGGATATATTTATAAGTCCCCTACCGGTGAAACCGGAGGGGACATTAGGTTTTTGAAGTCGTGAATGCATGACCATATCAAAATTTGAGACCAGTTTCAGCGGCAGGTCTGTGAACCGTTTATGCACAAAATGAACCCTTGAGAGGAAATGCATCTCTGACAAAGAAAGATTAAATTATATTTGATGTTGTAAAACTCACAGTAAAGCTGAAATACACAGCAAGACAAGCGTTAATATCCAGTTGTTTATTTCCACCAAACCCAGAATGTTCATGTTTGTCCAGTCCACTGGGCTATTTAGAAATTAACTTGTATCGGGGTTTTCAAATTGGGAATTTTCCGATCTAGTTTAAATAGACAGTCTGTCCGTGATCGGAATAAAATGTCTGTTTTATGCAAAATTTTGTTTCATACACTGTGAAATCTTAATAGATATTACATCAAACATCCGTATATGTGAAAAAAGTTTTCGCCTGAAGTTAAAGGGTCAATGTTTTCAAATTTTACCTTTACACTCATGTGTCTCAACACAACATGCGAGAGTTGAGGATCTAGAGTTGGGGTCGGGGGGGGGGGGGTGTCCAGACCCCCTCCCTGGAATTTGTAGAGTTATAATATGTATATACTAAAGCAAATAAAAAATGACTTTGGACTCTAGAAAACAACCACCATGAAACAGGATTTTTTTTTTCACGTTTAGGAATTGACTTTACCTGGATTGTAGAGAATACCCTTATTTGGGATTATTTTGAATCGAGCTATTAAAAGATATGGCTTAAAAATTTAGGTAGTTAACTTAATGCATATTTCAAAGTAAAAAATATTTTTTATAGAAATAAACAACAACATGATTATACATTTCATCTGTTTTGTTTGTTTATTGTTTAACGTCCCTATCGAGAATTTTTCACTCATATGGAGACGCCACCACTTGCCGGTGGAGAGCTGCAAATTTTGACCTATACTTGGCACTTAGGGCCATTGAGCAGTGAGGGATCATTTTCGTGCCAGTGACACGGGACCTCAGTTTATACGGTCTCATTCGAAGGACCGGTCTCCACGTCCCACAGTGTGATTCGAACGCAAGGATCAACTCCTTACTCCGCGACTCTAGAACGAACGCTCTAACCACTGCGCCAGGGGGCGACTACATTGCATCTGAAGTATTGTGTAAATACCGCTTTCAAAAACAAAAGGTGAGTGGGGAAGGGGGAGGGGTACTGGATACCCAATGGTCATTTCCTGTTGTCATTTTGCTAATTTTTTTCTGTGTGAATAACAATTCTTCTTATGTTTTGTTGAGGGGTACAGAATAACCTTTTTTAAGTTAACAAAGTAATATAAAATAAGAATCAGCAATGAATACCAAAAATGGTAAGGACGAAATAGTATTGGTGCCACGTTGGATTTTTTTTTTCTTTGAACTTCACAGTAGTTGGTAATTAAATTTTAATCTTGGCTTTTCCCACTTAAAAATTGGTAATTCCAACTTTAAGGTTGACTTTTTCAATCTTTACTTTTCCATCTTCTATCTTTGCTCTTTGCTTTTCCTGAACTTAAAAGTTGATAATTCAAACTTTTATATTGGCTTTATTATAGGGGTGGGAAAATCAGATAATCAGAAGCTAGCTGAAGAAGTTGGCCGTTGAAGCAGTAATAAAGAAGTGAAGGCTAAGAGCAAAATAAAAGTATATAAAAGTTATACACACCAGTGGCAAGTATTCTAGGGAATTGATGTTAAGTTCTGAGTGCAGTAAATGAGACATCCGGTTCTTACCTATCAATAGGAACCTAAGGGAGAAACACAGTGCAAGTAATACCTTACCCAGTCCCCGTCTCAAGATAAGAGAAAAAAAATTTAGTACTGTGAGATGTACCCTCATACAGAGCAGTCTTGATAATCATTCCAATCATTAACTCAGGCAGAGTAAAAGGAAATCCTATGTATCCCTTGTAAAAACCTGATCATACAGTTACATAGGAAATATCTTAAAAAATCTTCTTCTCAAGAACAACTAAGCCATTATTAGTCATATTTATACAGAAGCAACTTTAGGTAGAATGGTGTTTGTTCAAACTATGACCCCCAGGGGTTGGGGGCACAACAGAGGGTCAAAGTTTTACATAAGAATATATAGGAATCATCTTGAAAAATTCTTCTGCTCCAGAACATCAAAGCCATGATTAGTCATATTATTACAAAAGCATCTTCAGGTAGTGTAGATTCAAATTTGTTCAAATTTAGGGTGGGTAGAGTGGGGCCACAATGTGGGATCAGAGTTTTACAGAGGAATACATGTACATGGGGAAAAAGATATTTGAAATTCTTCTGCTCAAGAACAGCAAAGCCATGATTAGTACATGTAATATTGATACGGAGGCATCCTGAGGTGAGTAAATTTAAGCCCCCCCTGTAAACTTTTATTGATTGATTTATTTATTCATAATTTTATAAAAAGGGTTTACAAGAGGTACCCCCCCCCCCCCCGAGATTGGAATGTTTAAGATAAGAACGTATATGAATTAATTCATTTCAAATAGAAAATGCACCAAATAATAAAGTAGTAATAGTAGTACTTGTCGCTCCTAAGTATCTTGCAATGTATTTTTGTTTTTAGCTCTGTATACGACTTTCAAAATTAGAAATATTTATATTTTTTCTTCTTTGAAAATTCTGTGCTTTCCTTGGACTCCAGAGTTATAGATAAGAAAGGTCGTGAATGACAGTACTGATTGCCATCTATCTCTCAGTAAATTTTCAAACTGTCATCATATTCCAATGACTTTGATTTATATAAATTTTTGTATGGAGTTTCATAAAATTGGAATTATTTATCAAAAGAAAAGTGATGATGAAAAAGCCTTTCCATTAAATTTTATTTGAAATGTGTTGATGTTGAAAGTTTCTAGAGTAATAACAATACTAGCAATATGATATCAAACTTTATTTTTAATGTCATACCAATGTAAAGAAAACATATTCAACTTTAGGTTTAATTTTTTATTACTATGCTACATATAAGTATATTCAAGTATAAAACTATTTATAATATTAAACTTTTCACATTTTTATTATCTTCACAGGGACCTATGGCTATATAGTTTGAATACTAAACACTTAAAATACTTAGAAAAAATTCAAGATCACATCTTATTTACATATACTTCCACAGTAAAAGTATTACATAGGCATGTTGCTAAAAAGGAATGTTCTATTTATATGATACTAGTATATATACAAGATATACTTTTATCCGTTTTAAGACACACTTATGTTCCCTATTTGGCGTAGGAATATGAACGTTTCTGATGTTCAAGCTCTGGGTTCCAGCAGTAGTTTGACACCATTTTCTGGCTTTAGTAGTCCTGCTTTGGATATTGTCAGTGGAATCTGAAAAGTGATAATTAATATCAGAATTAAATTTGACTTAATTGAAAAAATTTGTTCATTAGGAAAGGGTTTTAGAGAGTATGAACACTTTAATTAATATATTGCTCTGTACATTTACCTGCAAATTGTACACAAATCGTAAAGAAAATTTCCACCCGTAAAAAATGTTTTTGACGAAGAAAAAAAATTCCCCTGAATGCATTACTGTAAGTATATACTGCAAGCAGAGACATAAATTATATATATATATATATATATATATATATATATATATATATATATATATATATATATATATATATATATATATATATATATATATATATATATATATATGTCTCTGATGCAAGACAATAAAGAATGTCATAAATGTTTTTGGTTGGAATCGAATCTATATTCATGGTAGACCATTGTATATAAAGTCTCTACCTCTGTTTCTGCACAAGTTTTGAATCTGTAATGTTGAAGAATGTAGGTCATTGCAAACTTCATTTCCACCTGGGCGAGGCGCATGCCTATGCAGCTGCGTGGTCCATGCCCAAACGGGAGATAGGCATAAGGGTGTCTCTTAGCTTTGTTTTCCGGAGTAAACCTTGAAAAAAATTAAAAGATTAAAATTCATGTTTGAAAAATTTGAATGTATTTATGCAGAATCATGAAAAACTACTGCATTTTCACATACCATTTACAATCAATGTATTAAGCTGTTGAAGTCTGGGATAAAAATCATTTGATTTGATACTTATGATTTAGTATTACTAGAGTACTTTGAGCAAGCTCACAAAATTAAACCTCCCACTGCTAAAGTTTTAGCTGCCCAACTACATTTTTCTCAAAGATACCTTTAACTTGCCAAAATGACCTGGTTTCATGAAAATAAAATACATTCTTTGTGTGAACTTGCAATGTTTCTCGATTAGAAAACTATGGAACCGGACATGAATTTTACCCTCTGCTAGTGACCTTGATCTTGCCAAATTAATGTTAGGTCAAAATTATGGAATACCCTAAGCTTACAGGTAATCTTTGAAGCTTTTCTGCAAGTGACATTTAGCTTGCCTAAAAGATCAAGATCATGTCAAAACCTTAAAACAGAAGTAATCTTGCCTCAGTTATCAACTTCCGTTGTTTCTCTGTTATAGAGTTATAGTCCTGGCATGAATTATACACTTTTTTGCCAGTGATTTGAACTTGTCATTATGACCTTGACCCAAGGTCAAAACGCATCCTAAAGTCAGAAGCAGTCTTTGTGTCAAGTACAATTGAAGGGTAGACGAACAAAAAGATTTTTACTTGCTCCTCAAACTTCGTTTGCAGGGGTGTTAAAATAATACAAGGATGTATCCAAAATAAAACTCATTCGAGGGCAAGAGCAAGGTTCATTTAGGGCCTTTTTCGCCCTATGAATTTCTAAAAACCGAAGCTGCTCAGCGTTGGCCAACAGTGTATCAAATTTCACTCGAACCCATGGTGACTGTATCTATTATCTATTGTAAATGATATTTTCTTTAGTCAATGCATCATGACGTCAAAAAAGTGGTCATTTTTCCTTTCTCCTGAAAATTCCTTCAAAAATGGCCATAAGTTTTAGTAATTTTTAATATTTAAAATAGAGCACGATCTCTGATTAAAAAAAATATGCAATTATAAATGAAAGATCTATTTCTGAAGATTATAAAATTTGTTTTTTGGATCAAGGAGTGTGCTCATATTCTAATTCCTCAAATACACCTGTTTTCTGCAAAATTCAAGATAATTGCAATTTCACAAAGCCTGTTTTCCAATACCTGGACTCTTAAAAGAAACTTTGTTATGGGAAATGAATGCACTTAGCCTCTACTTTATTTTGATGTTAGAAATTGCATAGACAAAGGGTGTTAGTCAGTTAATTGGTATAAGGACAGGCC